CTGTTTAAAACTTGGAAAATGTGTATATTTGCATGGAACATACTTCAATTCAGTCTTCAATTGTATTCATAAATAATCAACATTGTCTTTTTGCACCTTGCAAATCGGTTCTGCAAGGTGTGACGACTGGGATGTAGGTCGGGAAAATAAAGGTTTGTAGGATAAGGGCAAAATCCTACATATCTTTTTGTGTCCGTCCGTCGTGCCTAACTTTTTTCCTAATCTTCTCCTCTGAGACTACTTGGCAAAATGTTACCAAACTTAATCTGTTCCTTATATATATGGTATTTAGTTTAAAAATTGTATCCGGGGATTGGATCGATCATCAAACATAATGCCACTGTTGATAAATATAAAACATAGGGAGTAAAATGCAGTTTGTGGCTTATCTTTCAAAAACTAAAGCAGTTAAAGCAAATCTGACATAGTGTCGAATTGATCAGTAGGTCAATGTAGGGAGCGTCTTTTTACCACAGAACACCACAGAATACCACAGAACACCACAGAATACCACAGAACACCAAAAATATACCACAGAACTTCGAAATATAAATACTTCAGACATTATACTATTATTATTGTTAATTCTTTTTATAATTTGACATTTATTATTCAAATAAATTTTATTTTTCTATTTAGGGTCGACTCACTATCACTTCGCCCCCAACTGAATTAACCTATTATTGGGTCTATACCAAAAACACCTACCGGTATTAAAACCAAAATATACAAAAAATATTTAAAGTCACAAGTCAACAATTGTAATTCTGGGGTATATTTGTGACATTTACTTTTTTAAAATACATTTTAATTTTTTCTTGTTATTTTTTTTTCTTCCATTTTTTAGAATGTTTAGATGCATAACGTAATTATATTTTTAATCTATTTTGTATACACCAGAATTTATCGTTTTTGTAGTAGTCATTTTTGTTTAATTTCATGTTAAGAGCTGTAACAATATGAATAAGTACATGTATATTATTAAATATTGAATAATATATAAAGCAGTCCTTTAAGGGCTACCAAATACTTTCAAAAAGATATTTGAAGTAGTTGTTGGACAGTTATTTGAGTTGACTAATAAAATATTATAAGTGTGTCTTTATAATAGTCAAAAATTTCAAATTTGATGATTTTGGGACTTTTATTTTGATGTGTGTGTATCTTCTCCAATTTATGTATAGAGTTTATGCAGGGCCTTAAATTGTGTAGAGGCATGTTGGTGTTTTGTCTGTATCCTGCGGAATTTTCAGAAAAACCCGGACAACCAATGTTGTGTTTTTTTTTGGACAAATTTCGCAGTTGTTTGTTATTATCTTAACAAGAGTGCACACGATGAAATGTCTCGCCTGCTTTACTGACCATTGATTTTACTTTGATAGTGCTAAATATTAAGTGTACTACAAGTATCACATAAACTTAACATGATCCAAGAAAATGAGGTCACGGTACGATAAACCAAACCGGAAATACATGTACACCTTACAATCATTCCATACACCAAATACAGTTGACCTATTGCTTATAAGTTTCTTAGAAACGAACTTAACCAGGAAAACTTAACATTGACCAATGAACCATGAAAATGAGGTCAAGGTCAGATGAACCATGCCAGACAGACATGTACAGTTCCTTACAATCAATCTATGCATTAAATATATTTGACATATTGCTTATAGTATCTAAGAAACAAACTTAACCATGAAAACTTAACATTGACCAATGGACAATGAAAATGAGGTTGAGGTCAGATAATACCTACCAGACAGACATATACACCTAACAATCATTCCATACACCAAATGTAGTTGACCTATTGCTTATAGTTTAAGAAAAACAGACCAAAACATAAAAACTTAACACTGAGTAATGAACCATGAAAATGAGGTCAAGGTCAAATAAAACCTGCCAGACTGACATGTACATCGTAAAATATTTCCATACACCAAATATAGTTGACCTATTGCATATAGCATTTGAAAAAAAGACCGAAACACAAAAACTTAACTTTAACCACTGAACCATGAAAATGAGGTCAAGGTCAGATGACACCTGCCAGTTGGACATGTACACCTTTAAATACAATCAGTCCATACACCAAATGTAGTAGACCTATGGCTTATAGTATCTGAGATATGGACTTGACCACGAAAACTTAACCTTGTTCACTGGTCCATGAAATGAGGTCGTGGTCAGATGAAAACTGTCTGACGGGCATGAGGACCTTGCAAGGTATGCACATACTAAATATAGTTATCCTGTTACTCATAAGAGAGAAATTAACATTACAAAAAATATTAACTTTTTTTTTTCAAGTAGTCACTAAACCATGAAAATGAAGTCAAGGACAATGAGGTATGTCCAGTGCACGATGTAGTGACGATATCGCCGATATTGTCAACTTCGTTCATGATTTATACCTGCTCGCAACATTGTCTTACTTGTTGTCTACATCGTTGATATCGCCGACATCGTTCTTCTCGCTGTCTACATCGTCCCATTTCCTGTCTACATCGTTGACATTGTCGACATCGTGATGTTGACAACATCGTGACGACATCGTCTACATCGTCCCCCTTTCCTGTCTACATCGTTGACATCGCCGACATCGTGACGACATCGTCTACATCGTCCCCTTTCCTGTCTACATCGTTGACATCGCCGACATCGTGATGTTGACAACATCGTGACGACATCATCTACATCGTTTTTCTTGCTGTCTACATCGTTGACATCGCCGATATCGCGATGTTAACAACATCGTGACGACATCGTCTACATCGTCCCCCTTTCCTGTCTACATCGTTGACATCGCCTACATCGTTTTTTTTTAAATAAAGAAGTGTTTAGTTTATCAATTTCAATTTCAAATAATGTATTTATATTACGCCTGTGTCGATGTTCTTAATAGTAGAACTTATTTGGACAGTTTTTTAATGTTTGCAAATCTCTATCCTCCTCCTCCTCCTCCTTTTCGTCCTCCTCCTCCTCCTCCTCCTCCTCAACATCTTTGCGATGTTGACATTATAGATTACGTTGTAATACAGTGTTTTGACATTGTCTTTTTCGCGATGTCGGCAATGCCAACCATGCAGAGACAAGATGATGAAAGGATATCGACAAAGTAGTACAACACAATGTCGAAATCGTTGTATTCAAAATTAACAATGTAAACACGAGTAATGTGTTAGCGATATCGGCAATGTCAACGATGTAGACAAGAGTATGAAACGATATCGACAACGTTGTACAACATCGTGTCGACATTGTCTACTTCGCGATATCGTCAATGTCAACAATGTAGACAAGAGTATGAAACGATATCGACAACGTTGTACAACATGGTGTCGACATTGTCTACTTCGCGATATCGTCAAAGTCAACGATGTAGACAAGAGTATGAAACGATATTGACAACGTTGTACACTATCGTGTCGACATTGTCTACTTCGCGATATCGTCAATGTCAACGATGTAGATTAGAGTATGAAACGATATCGACAACGTTGTACAATATTGTGTCGACATTGCCTACTTTGTGATGTCGACAATATCGGTACTACTTTGTACACTGGACATGAATGAGGACAATGGACATATGACAGACGGAAACTTAATAACATACGGCATCTATATACAAAGTATGAAGCATCCAGGTCATCCACCTTTCTAAAATATTAAGCTTTTAAGTAGTTAGTTAACACCGCCGCTGCCACCGCATCATTATCCCTATGTCAAGCTTTCTGCGACAGAAGTCACAGGCTTGACAAAGACTATAACAGATAGCGAGAAATCTATACAGTAAATCTAAAGTATATGATAGAGACTAATATTTCAGTAGGATTTGACAAGTTATTAATTCTGACCATGCAAATTGAAACAAACAAGCATTCTGAGAGTATTGCATTGCAATACATAGTCCCCTACCGGTTAAAAATTCATTGTACTGGAACAAAATGCTAACTTGGTCTATAACTTGTCATGGTGTTAACTATATAACAAATATCAAGTCAATATCTTCAAGCATGACGAAAAAAAGTGTAAAAAACTGATTATTTAAGTGAATTTTCTATGTCTAAGGACCAAAACTCTGCACAAAATCAGACCAGAACAAAATTTGAACTTGATCTGTAACTTGTCATGATAAAACTATATACCAATTATCAAATCAATATTTTCAAACATGACGAAAAAAATTGCGGAAAACTGATTATTTGAGTGAATTTTCGAAGTCCTAGGACCATAACTCAGCACAAAATCATCAGACCGGAACAAAGTTCGAACTTGATCTGTAACTTGTCTTGATAAAACAGTACACCAAATATCAGTTCAATATCTTCAACGAGGAAGAAAAAAAACATGGAAAACTGATTTGCCGGACAGACAGACAGACAGACAGACAGATGGACGGAGTGCAAACCTAAAGTACCCTTCGACTTCGTCGGTAGGTGACTAATATAGGGAAAATTGGATATACTTATTGAAAAGAAAAACAATCAAAGACCTGCCATCAGCACCCAACTCTTGATATATCAAAAAGTCATATGATATGTTTGTCTTTCAGTTACTGTCTCATTGATTTCTTTATCTTTATTGGTTAATGGATTGTTTGTTGGTGTTTAATGCCATTTTCAGCACTTTATCTACATGTATATCATGGTGGCTAGTTTTTATCGGTTGATGAAGCCAGAGAGAACCGTCTACCTTCGGCAGGAAAACTGGCAATCGTTGAAGGTCGAATCACACCTCCCAATGAGCAGGGTTCAAACTCTCAATCCTACATTAGATAGGCAAGTGATCACTGCAAATGAACTACTTAGACCACTAAGCCACCGAGTCCTCAATATAGTTTTTCATAATGAAAGGGAAACTTCAGTTTTGAACTTTAAAATATTCAGTTATCTCATGATCTGTCATATTTTTTGTCTGTTGAAAATTAACTGGACATTATGAAAGGCTGTCGATGAACATGACAAAAAGTAAACAAGTAACAGTTACAGCGCTGAGCTTGTTTATTTCTTTTTCTAAAAACGTGATTATAACAATATTTTGCGTAGAAAATTAATATACATAACACAGGATAAACACTTTTCAAATTATCTTCGATCAGAATACATTATCAATGTTTAACAGTAATTTACTTTCAGTGTTACCCATTATAATGTGTGCCCTGTATACAAATGTTAACTGCCAAAAAATAATATTGAAGTCTATTAATCAGTTAAGTTTGGAAAAATGAAATTAATTTCAAAATTTTTCTCCATGGATACTGTTTTTTGATCATGAATAAATTTGTCTTTGTTTCATAAAATTCTGTATAGACTGTTCCATTAAAACATACATTGTACCCAGGGAAGGCACTTCGAAAATAAGGAAACCACCCACAGATTCAATTTTAGAGACCTGCATACATTTCAAACCAATTGTTACACCCACCAATATTGACAAATTAAAGTTTCCTTTTCTGGATCCCATGTAAGGTTTCATGGCACAGCCCCAAAGGTTTGACAAAGTTATTGGTATAGTAATAAAACTTTCACAATATACTTAATCTAAATGTTGACAACACAGACAAAGCAAAGTAGGATGGCTATGTCTTGATTCGGTGTCTAAAATAAGGGGAGACAAAAATCGTATTCCTTTGAATAGAAAATAATTGTCATCAGAATGTTTATCCTGGTTTAGAAAATGATAAATGTATTGCAAACCATCTTTATTTTGATTGACTTATATCAACAACTTTTGAAGGCTATATTTTCTAATTTAACAAAGACTTTTCTGTAATCGGTCATTGTATTATTTAAGTGTATTTCTAAAATGTAAATGTACCAAGCACAAACTGTAAGCGCATGTATAAAAGTATATAGACAATTTATGTAATGTACAAAAAAATATTAATAGTAATTTATTTCTGTGTTTATTACTCTGAACAGATTTCCAAACATAATCAGTTTCAGCAATCGAGTTTGAGATACACAGTTTTATAAATTGCAAATAATCTATAACATCATAAAACAAGAAAACAGGCTATAACATTAAATTCATCAATGCAGATTTAACAATAACAGGTAAATAAACATTCTCTTTATATGTACTGTGGATTCATTTATTGCCGTGGGTACCAATTTCGTGGATTACGGAAAAATTTTATTTTCATGGATATTTGATTTCGTGGTTTTACAAAAGTCTGCATACAAGCCTAATAATAATTTGTACTTTTTTGATATTTTTAAAAATTCCTGGTTCACCTGTGCCCTCGAAATCCACGAAAAATTTGTATCCCACGAATAATAATGAATCCACATTGGTTGAGGCATTTTCCCCATACAAAGTGCTTAACATATATGAATAAAGTATTTTTCCTACAAAAAGTATACTTAAAAAGTATTTTCATCATTCAACACTTTATACTTAACTTATTTTTCCCCAGAATTTATAGTACTAAATGTACAAACCACTGTTCATATAAAATATACAATAATCGAGATACATTTCCCACAAAATGTTTGATGTATTAACTCTTTTAAGTCTAATATTTGACATTTTTCTTTATCTTTAAAAATAACGTCATTTCAGTACAATTGTAATGAAAATTATTTTACTATAACATTTTTCTGTAATTAAGATGATTTCTTTATCTTGTTTACCCTTCATATCTGTATTCATATAATATCACCTAATAATGCCCCCCTTAGGCAACGGGGCATTAAGTGTTACCCTTGACTGTCCGTCCTTCAGTCTCTCCGTCTGTCTGTCCCATTTTCATTGCAAGCTTGAGCAGGGGCATTCGTGTCCTCAGACACATTCTTCTTTTATTTTCCACAATTATTCTTGATACAAGCATTAAAAACAATTTAAAACAAGAAGTTGAACACAATCTAGTGCAAAGTTTAACCCCTAGTGTTAATTAGACAACAAAATTTAACTGCCTAGTAGACCTGATTGATTGATAGTTGATGTTTAACGCCACTTTCAGTACTATACACAATTTTGTGGCTGTCAGGTCTTCTTGGTGGAGATAGTGGTGATTTACTTATCTACTCAGTACAATTCATCATAATAATGTTCTAAGACAAAAAATTAAATCAGTCATCAATGCAGAAGCTCAGTTGGTAAAATAAAAATTATAAGTATTGTCAAACAGGAAGTGACTGCCAGCCAGTTCTGCAAAAGAAAGGCAAAGGCTACCAAGGGACATTCAAACTCACATTTCGAAACTAAACTGACAACGCCATGGTTAAAAAGATAAAGACACACAAACAACAGTACACAAAACACAACATAGAAAACTAAAGACTGAGCAACACGAACCCCACCAAAACTGGGGGAGGGTCATCAGTCTAGTTAATTCGTCGTGTCCAAAACATGAATTGAATACTGTATAAGGTAAACAGGTAAATATAAATCAGGAAACACAATTCAAACGACCATTTTGTTCATCATCCCATGTTAATCTCCCAGTCCAAAACAAAAGATAGTTCAACTTGACCACCAAACTATAATGACCAATGGAATACAATGATTCAAATAAAACCGTCATGAATATTCATCAAAATTTTCAGAATTTACACAATTTACAATAATTCAAATAGTCCTAAAAATTACTCTGCCACAGATGAATGGACAGAGGAATTATGGGCAAGCTAATTGCAGTATACCTGACACTCCGTGGGTGGGGATATAATAACATACGTTGACCAGAATACTTTCTACTTTAATGTTGATTCATTATTACAAAACACACTATTTAAAAACCATATCAGAATTTAAATAGGACACTTCATTGCGAGTAGTCGTCTACCCTTCTCCATGTCCCATTATACCTAATCAATGCATTATAAATCAGTTCCTAGCCTGGACTGCATGTTAAACGTAAAATTAGATGATTTGTAAAAGTTTATGATAAGAATGCCCATTTTTTGTACTTAACATGATTATTCAAATATTTATTCCTTTGTTTTATTTTACAATGATACATACATATCCTATTTTTCAATATTTCTACCTTTTAACAACGGTGCTGTAAATTCAGAAATTATTTTGTGCATTTATATCACAATTTTTGAAGAATGGACACAAATGCGAGATTAATTATTGCGATTTCAGGCAAATCTGCATTGCATACAGATTTATGTATAGAAATCAGAATGCAAGTTTATATCATCACATTACTCACCTAGTTGCATCGAATTCATAAAAACCTTGCAATAATTTCAAAATTTACAATACTTTCGCATGTTGACAATCATTAAAACAGAATTCTTTACATTTTTTTCTGCTGTCATCTCCACAACATTCGGTTATTTTGCGTAGTAGAATGAATTGCGTAATCTTTTGTATTAAATACATAAACACAGTTTTTTTCTGCTTTCTATTTCACAAAATTTGCATAGCCTAATACTTTGAATAAAATTCAAGAACATGAACAATCATTGCGATAAAAAGAAAAATAATTCATAAAATAAATACACACATATAAAAATAAAAATTACATGAATATAAGGTAGCACACACTATAATTAATCCCTCATAATGTATCACACACAATAACTTATCCCTCATATTAAATATCATTACTTGACCTCTTAGATACTTAAAAACACAGGTAAATAAACATCAATTAAAATAAGTGGTTCTAAACCTCAATAAAGCACCCAATTTGTGAGGGTCAAGAAGGGGGAATCTTCCTTTCTGTATACATAAATTTTAAGTCCATTTCCTCTATACTTTTTATTTTAATACTATTCTATGTGCTTTATCCCTCCCCCACCTGTTAAGGATGTTCGCTCCTCTTGTTTTTGAATTTTTGTCAGATATTCGGAATCCTCTGGTTTTATCCATATAGTGCCATTATAAAATTTTGCACACTAACCTCTTCATTTCTTTTCATAATTTTATTTCATATAGTTTAAAAATCTTATAAAATCCTTGTTTTTTTTAATTGTTTTTGTAAGAAAAAAGGTGCCAATGTTAAATGTATGAAAAATCTAGAGAGAATCATTTCCTGCCAAATTTTCAATTGCTTATATTTTGAAAACAAGCACATGAACCCTTCATTTTTTTCTGCTTTTTCAGTTCCTTTATTTTTATACTATCAATTTATAACAGTCTTCTTTATTTTTATACTATCAATTTATAACAGTCTTTTAAAAAGCTTGTTATTTTGAAACAGAGTAGCGAACATCCTTAATCCATATTCTGTAAACTCTGTCTAGACCCTCAATTGTTCATTATGACAACAATCGGTTGTAAAGCCACACAATATGATTATGAAAGGTGAAATCTGATTACAGTAATTTAAAATAATTCAAGAAAGCCTCCCATATTTACCTCCACTTCTCTCTCCCCACTTCTAAAAAAAAATAAATTAAAAAAAATGATTTAATATTCTCCCGTAAATTTTCCCACAACATAAATATTCTGTATCATGGCTTTAATAGCTTATAAGGATCTGAACAGGCTCCTTTTTATTTTTTTTCTCAGGAATTATAACATCAATCAATGAAATTTTTGCCTCTAAATTTTTGAAGATTTGCATCATCACCACAAAACCAGAGGATCCCAGAGAGGTCTTCAAAATAGAAAGTAAAACAGAGAGGGGTCAGACCCTTTCACTGAAGCTCTGACACAAGACCCTTTCACTGAAGCTCTGACACAAGACCCTTTCACTGAAGCACTGACACAAGACCCTTTCACTGAAGCACTGACACAAGACCCTTTCACTGAAGCTCTGACACAAGACCCTTTCACTGAAGCTCTGACACAAGACCCTTTCACTGAAGCTCTGACACAAGACCCTTTCACTGAAGCTCTGACACAAGACCCTTTCACTGAAGCACTGACACAAGACCCTTTCACTGAAGCACTGACACAAGACCCTTTCACTGAAGATCTGACACAAGACCCTTTCACTGAAGCTCTGACACAAGACCCTTTCACTGAAGCACTGACACAAGACCCTTTCACTGAAGCACTGACACAAGACCCTTTCACTGAAGCACTGACACAAGACCCTTTCACTGAAGCACTGACACATGGTCTGCATCAAAATCAAATTGTGATAGAACTTCAATCAGAAAATTAAGTTTTCAATGATATTTTTCAACGCTGTGTATGGTTTGCTGAACAGTTTTAAAATGGCAAGAAAGCACTATAAACTACATTGATGTACACTCTACATAACATTCCAATTAATTTGACAATGTAAAACAAAAATAGGATTATTCTTTGCAATCACGTAATTATACAATACTATTTAGGGCTATTCCATTAAAATGTATGTGGGAGGGTAGGAAGGGAAGTTTATTTATTGAATGTGGGTCACGGGTCTTTTTTCAGTATGCGTCTATTACCATTATGCAAAATTATCTAAAAAATGGTTCTTGGTTGTAGGGATATTTTGAAAGTCCCTTCCTACCCTCCCACATACATTTAAATAGAATAGCCCTTATACATAAATGTTTGCTGTCTAACAAGAAAAAAAGTTGCAATTCTAAATTGCTTTAACATATCAAGCAGTATATAGAGCAATATATATCTGTTCATTCATGAAGATAAAGCATTAATACAGTGGCAGTTATGTTCTCTAAGTTGAGAGATTTTATTTTAATACAAAGTCTAAACAAATGTAAACAAAAAAAAGAATCAAAGGAGTTTGGCAAATTTCTATTTTGATTTTCAGTTTCGTCTAAATTTTGCTCAGATCAAAAATATAAATGCAGGTGCACATTTCTTGTCCAAAAAAATGAATCTGTGTAAATTCAGATTAATTTTGCCAACTGTTTTCAAGGAGTAACTGATTAACAAAGTTTGATGTGGATGACAGGGACAAGACAACAGAAGTGATCCCCAGGTGTCACTACAGCTTCAGAGTCAGGCAACACAAAAATAGTTTTTCCATCCATGAGCAGTTACAATCTATATCTTTTAACACATTACAAAGGTCAGTTCCAGAATTAAGCTCATGGGTAACATCGGAGGAACTTTTATCAGACCGAAACCACCCATAAAATAAAAACTTTCATTTTACCGGTACTTATAATTCTTACAAAATTCTAAGAAAAATGCAACAACCCATATTATATTAATTTAAGTACCTCCAATCCCCCTTACTGATAAGTTTGGAACAGCCTTAATCTAATAAATAGCAAAACATGGAAATTAACAGAAACAAATTTGTTAAAAAGAAAGCACACCATGAGAAATACATAATGGCAGTAGTATCAAACAAAATATAATAAAGTTACGTAACAATGCCTTCCACTCTGACGGAATGGCGTGTTTAGTCAATGCCCCTGTTATTTTAGAGATTTCATGACTTATACATATAAATATAAAAGAAGTAATTATAACATTTAGAACAGGATAACTTGGTATAAGAACCAGTACTCCATGGGTATCAGCAGCTAACCAAATATGGTACTGAGATATAAAAAGCTGAAACAAAAAATAGTCAAATGTTATGCAACAATACAAAAAATAGTCTGTTGGTATTATCAGTCAGCTGTGTATGAAACTGTGATATAAACAGATGGAAGATGGAAACAAAAGCAAAAAAAAAAATTTCTTAAATTAATTTTTTTCCTGGATTGAGTTCAAAATGTACTCTCTGAATTTTTGATTTTGTGGTTTAAAAAAAATTGACAAACAAGCTAAGATAAACCTGGTTATAAGTATTTCAAAAACAGGAAGCTGATTACAAATGATGTGAAAATGCATCTCACAGTTTAGCATGCTCACACAAAGCTTGGTGCTTTTGTATTTGCAGCTTTCCTGCTGGACAAACAGTACTAAGGAGTTAGAGCAAAAACTGGTCTGCTCCGAGTGATATTGTGTCATGTTAGGGTGACATGTCTTCCTGCAGACTGTGCAGATCTTGTGAACTAGGAAGTTTAAAATACATGTACAGGTAATTGTGTCCATCTAGTACAAAACAGGATTAATATTCTTATCTGAACACGTTCTCGTCCTGATATGCATGTAATGTTGCCACCAGACATTAAACACCATCCATCCATCTTAATATTACGTTTAAAAGTTCATGTATCATGTACATACATGTTTGCCCTAAATCAATTCGTTTTTCTAAAAAAAAAGATAATTTCTAAGTGTGTACTTACTTCTAATGATATTTTACCAAACCATGCAAAAAATGAACTGTACTTTGTTCTCAGCCACCCAGGAACATTGCGTATTAATATGAAAGATACAATCTGAAACAAATAAACATTTGTTATATGACAAACTGTCTACATGTACATGTGTGTTGAATTATACATTTTTACTAAAAATATAATGCAGGTTTGACAATATTTCATTTTTTTTCAAGGTATTTATCTTTCAATGGGAAAATTATATATGACTATAATTTGCAAGTATTATAATACTAATGATTTAAACAGTAAACAAAGAAATCTTCAAAAGAACTTAACAAAAGGCTTACATTCCATTCATTCTGACATCATCACAGCAAAGGTTGTTGCATAATGTACACTAATTTGAGTGGGGTTGCACAATATATAAAATCTATCACCCGCAATATAAAATGATCAAAATTATGTATTATCTTAAAGATGTCTTCAGAAATATATAATCACCCACAAATTGTTTAAGTGTATTCTAATCCCCTCTTAAAAAAATGGTTTTATACTAGTTCTTAAAACAAAAAAGAATTAGAGCCATGGAACAGAATTCAAGAAAAAGCAAAAATTACATATTTTTGCCAAGTGTTCATTTATGATAATTTTCAAAACTACAAGATAAAAACACATTATTCGGTAAAAGTAAGAAAGTGAAAAGTTTCTAGTAGACAGAATTAGAATCAGTCATGTCTATAAAGTTATATCTAAAATCATCAAATATTAATTGATGTAAAGTAATGAAACTGGAAAGAATTTCTGAAGCAGCGTTTTAAGTAGCAGTCCACAAAAGAAACATGCAAAATTGAAATTTTGTGATACACCTCATGAAAGACTACAAAATACAATTATGGCCCGCTGAGGAGGTGAATATCCAAAATTGTCAACCCGAGTAAGGGTTATTCCACGAGGGGAATAACCCTTACTCAGGTTGACAATTTTGGATATTCACCGACTCAATGGGCCATAACTGTTTTATTATACCGAACAAACAATTAAGTGTAAAATATTGTAACAGATTGTCAAAACACTTACGTTGGAAAACTATTTTGTGTCTAACATTTCTTGTATGTACAACAAAATTAAAGGTAGACTCTTTCTGTAAAATATAGATGGCCCTGAAAAGGGCCGTTTACAAGAGATATCCTCGGCACTAGATGAATTTCCAAGCCTTGTTTGATCTTGTTTCTTTGTCACTTAATGGGCTTTTAACCTGTCCACTGCCGTATTTGTTTATCTGACGTTAAGTGACATCATACTTTAAAGGGAGTTAACTCGTGATCATTGAGGGATGAAAAGGGTTATTCACTGGGGAATAATAGGGTTGTTCGATGGAGGCTTCAACTTGTCGGGGTTATTCACCACTCCTGCCAAATTTTTGGAAAAACATCGCAATTAAACTATGACATGTGATTTCGTATTAGCCAATCAAATAATTACTATATAACGTAAGGTATAATAAATGCTTATATTTGTCAATCAGTTGCAATATGGGTGTTGATGAAAGGAATGAATAATGTTTTCCATTTCTTACACTACAAAGACAGACAATTGGTTTGCATTTTACAATTGATATTTTGGGATTCTGTATTGAGTTATCTTTCTTTAACCATGAGTTCTATAGAAATAATATCCCAACTAGTAAGGGTCAATATGAAAAATTATATATGAATTTCAACATACTTTTATCTTTTTAATAAGGCCAGCCCAATTGAAATTTATATCAAAGTTGGTTTGAAGCATGTGAAGCAAGTGTGTGTGTGTCTGTTCATTCCTTAGGTTGCCATGATATAGCCTTTTTGTGCTGATGTGGCGAAAAGCAAACACCAATAAATCAATCATTCCCTTCGATCAACCAACATGGATGCAACGGATAAAAATAGAACATCACTTGTAAGCTTCCCTTCCCTCCCATGCATCACATTTTGCATGTTTATTAAATGAACACTGGTACTTAAAACATTAAAGCAGTACTTACAGGTACAATTGTCAGATAGGAATGAAACTGATTACACTCAACTTTGTTCTTACACAGGAATGTAAAAATCACATAACTCTGAAAAACAATAAAAATTATTACATAATCATAACACTTATTATAAAACTTTACTGTAGCAACCACTTGTAAAAGCATTAAGATATTACTGTATGTTTTTTATTCCTTCAAGGAGAATAACCCCCTTTTCCTGCAACAGATTGCTCGTAGGCATAATAGAGTGGGTGGCGCATATTCGCCTTGGACACATTTTCGTTGTTTTGCTATTTTTTCTGTAAAATTTGTGTGCCTTTACACAATACTTGCCTAAATAGATGGTAAAGGCTGTTTGTAATGTTACACAACTGTTGATATTCCTCTTTACCCTATTTCCAAGGTTATTGGCACATATTGAGAAATACGCAGGTGTTTTAAATGATTTTGGCAATTATGTAAGATTTATATGGCAATCATGCGCACTCTTAAAGTAAATATTTGTGAGAAAAATAGTATAGGAATGATCTCTCAAGCTAATTCATGTAATTGCAAACATTCGTTTTTATAATATACCAGGATAATGAGGATGGCCATATCATACATTGCGGCTAAAATGTGTCCCCCATGGTACACGAACAACTTGATTTCCTCTTGAGTTTGCGTTCGTTTTTAGAACAATTAACCAATGTTTTGAAGATAATTTCTTTATCAAACATTTCTTTCATATAGTTAAATTTCTGAAACCTTCATAAAAAGTTCCAAATACTCAATGTAGGTCGGATGTAAGTGGAAATGAACGAATTATGCAGCGAATATGGGTCTCTCACTCTAACTGTTTAGGAATATGCATGCAGGCAAAATAACTGTTTGGGAATATACATGAAGGCCAAATAACTGTTTTGAAATATTTGCGAAGCAAAAATAAGTCTTTTGAATTTGGCGCACATTTGCACATCAAAATAATAACTAGGTAGTGACGTCATATCGTTTGATGACGTCTGGAAAATATGGCTGCCACCTCAAGATTTGACCAAACAATAATTATATCTTTGTATTCAGTTCAGTATAATAATATAGTTATGGCCTTCATAAAAAGTAAATATAAAAATAATAATTCCCATATAATTCCTCAATTTAATAATTTTTTATATTAACTTTTCACGAAGGCCATAATTGTATAAAGTTTGTTCTTAGAGAGGAAACAAAAGACTATCAAAATGACTGCAAACTGAGTTTTCTATTATCTTTTAGTAGCATAATGAATGGCAAAAGGGAAAATTGTCTTTAATTTTGTCATTTGAAACAACATGTTAAAATTTGAAAAATCTGATCAAGTGTTCTCAAGTTAATGCACAGAATTGACAAAAACTGAAATTTTCCAATCAATCAAGGACCGTTACTCCAGAATGGAAAAGGTGAACACATTCAATATTGAACTTGGCTCCATCTTATCTTCAGTTAAACCATATATAAAATGCTGCATGCTGAGTAAAGCAGTTTAAGTCTTTGGTTTGACCTGGCTAGTGCTCAAACCAGTAACCTCCTACATTGCTGCGGTCTATTGTTTTTATGTTAGTTGTTTTTGTGCCTTGTACCATTTTTTTTAGTTAAGCCGATTGTTACTGATTTTTTATTTGTGCTTGTGTTGTGCTGTTACACCACTGTCCCAGGTTAGGGGAGGGGTGTGTGCTTACAAACATGTTTAAGCAGCCACGTTCTATATGTGTCTGTTCCAAGTCAGGAGCCTATAGTTCAGTGGTTGTCGTTGGTTCATGTGTGTCATATTTGTCTTCCGTAAATTGTTTTGTTATAAATTAGGGCCTTAGTTTTCTTGTTTGAATTGTTTCCCATTTTTCATGTCTGGGCCGACTATACGGTATGGTTTTTTCTCATTGTTGAAGGTGGTACGGTTGCCCATAATTGCTTAAATCCACTTCATTTGAACTTTGGTGGATAGTTACCTCATTGCCAATCATACCACATCTCCTTATTTTCATATTGAAGTCAGTAAAAGGCCATTAGGGCATTTCAATAAAGAAAAGGTGTAATTTAATTTAAAGCACTGGGCTGAAGTGGAGTAAGATACAATAGGCATGTCATTATTTGACCATTAAAAATTTTCAAGGATTTATTATGTGTGGAAACAGAACTTGCAGTTTACAAGTTTTTTAAAAAGCTTATTAATAACACAATCAACTGAAGAAAGTGGTTTTGTTATAGTAATAATCTATATCACATGTATTCTATGAAAAAAGTTCTTTTTTGTTTCAGTACTTTTTTGAAAGTTTTCAATTCCTAAAAAAAAATCTCTTTACATTTTCAAATTCCTAGATTTTGTTTTTCAATTCTAAAATTTTCAATTTCCGAATCAAAATTAATCTTAACCTTGTGAAATTCTCAGATAATTCTACAAAGTCCAAATAAGAACTAATGTTTAATGTTTAAAACTATCTTATCTTTTCTAACATACCCTTTCCCCCCTTTATTTCTATAATATACTCACACCAAGACCTAGAAGGCCTAAGAAAACAACACACGTTGAAAAGATTCGGGAAAATAAATTCTCATTGTTGCTATCATCTATAAACTTGTATTTTTTGGCTAACTCATATACAAATCCAAATGCCATTCCATAAACAACACTCTGAAATGTCAAATAAAATCATCAAGTTAGCAAATTAAATCTCAAATCATGGTGTAGATACAGAGTAAAAAAACATACATCTATTAACAATTTTCTTGCAAGTGGGTTTCCTCAAGTATTAACAATCTGAAATATAATACAGATCCGGTGTCAAGGTTTTGTTTACAAGGGTCTGACAGGGATCAATCTACTTTCTGTTATAATTAAAGAACCTTAGTGAGCGCGCTCACATACCCCATGTCCCCACATTGTTATTGGAGAAATAAAATAAGTGTAAGAAAAAAAAATTGTATCAGAAAAAAAAATTGAATCATAATTTCCTGTCAATATGCACATCTACGTAGTATGTCCTTATTATCTGAAAAGGTTTCATGAAATTCTGTTGTGTGGTTTGAGAGGAGTTGCGATGACAAAAGGTTGCAGTAGTATATTTGGCAAATAAGTTCAAAGGGGCATAACTTCTGGAAAAAAAATTGAATCGTAATTTCCTGTCGATATGCACATCTACGTAGTATGTCCTTATTATCTGAAAAGGTTTCATGAAATTCTGTTGTGTGGTTTGAGAGGAGTTGCATTGACAAAAGGTTGCAGTAGTATATTGGGCAAATAAGTTCAAAGGGGCGTAACTCCAGGGAAAAAAATTGAATCGTAATTTCCTGTCGATATGCACATCTACGTAGTATGTCCTTATTATATGAAAATGTTTCATGAAGTTCTGTTGTGTGGTTTGAGAGGAGTTGCGATGACAAACTGTTGCAGTAGTACATTAAAGTAAATAAGTTCAAAGGGGCGTAACTCCTAGAAAAAGAATTGAATCCTAATTTCCTGTCAATATGCACAACTACATAGTATGTCCTTATTATCTAAAAAGGTTTCCTGAAATTCTGTTGTGTGGTTTGAGAGGAGTTGCGATGACAAGAAACAGGACTGACGGACTGACAGACGGACGGACGGATGGACGGACGGACAGACAGACTGATGGGTAAAAAACATTATACCCTCCGCAACTCGTTGCGTGGGGTATAATAACTATTACATAAACAAAGCATATCTCTACCCCAACATTATGAAGGTACTGGTATGTGTCCTGAGGAAAAGTCATGAGGATCCCAATATTGTATTTAAGATGGAAAGTTATTGAGGTTGTCATCTCCTTATAAGCCATCTGCTGACACAAGATCTGCATTTTTATCAGATCTTTATGTGTATGAATTCCAATATTTTTACACAGCAATGACTTTTAATTTAATTTTGAACCTTTTATGTCAACATATTTGTGAAATAATCATAAGAAAATGTATATTGCTATATCTTAACTTTAACTGGTTGTAACACATTGATGCCCATCTTAAAGCTATACACAGGTAATCCCTAAAACTTGATGTGAATGGTTTTACTATTCATCATAAATCTATTTGATGACCGCAAATTGTACACAACACCTTAAAAGTTATAATCTTACATGTGAAAGTCTAAATAGTTACAACAGAAATTTAGAAACTGAACACTCCATGTGAACTGGTTGTAACTTACGTATCTGTCTAAAGACCATCTAAATCTCCACTCTGATATGGAATCATCTTGTAGCACAAATAGAGATTTGATTGGCCTAAGTAGAAATACTTTATCAAAAAACACCTGCAAATATAAAACAAATGGACTTATCCATTAAGGCTATTCCCTTTTTAGAAGTATGAAGGAAAATTTTATTATTTTTTTTTTTATGGTCAGTCTTTAATTTTTGTATATCCATTTGGTGTGTGTAAATTACTCAAAATATGCATGAAAGTTCCCTATAATCCTTCCAAACCCAATAGACCACTTTCGAGTTATGTTCTTCACCAGAAAAGTTCGTCAATTATGTGCGCCTTTATGACGTCATTTACCAGTTAGCAGGGACCTCCTGTATCCCTGCACTATCAAAGTTCATCAAGCGTCTTCGTGATCGTCAATATGCAGGCTAATTTAGAAATAATGTTTGTTCCGTAGGTACTTAATTACAATTCCCTTATGACAGCAGTGCTTTTTATCAATTATAAGAATTTAATTTGCCGAATAATTCGTGCAATATAGCATCATGTTTTTTCAACCACTCGCTCAACATGGGAAGGAAGTGCCAATGCCCCAAAACACACGAATGATGTTCACTAAAACCAAAGTTTTTGATGGAATTGCAACGAACTTGAAAGTGGTCTATTACATGGAATAACCATAAACACTTCTAATTCAACTTTCCCTATTGTAATTTTTGAGTCAATTTTCCTCCCTGAACAGGCAGTATAATATCCCCAACAATTAGTCCAATAAAAAAATTACATATTTGTGTCATTCATTTAACTTCTTATCTACCACAGGTACCTTTACAGTTAACTACTAAACACTGCTGATTAGTTAGCTACTGCAGCTGAATTGTAGGTTAACTACCAGAGATAATTTGAAGTGAGAGAATTTTTCACAAATTGTTAAGGCTGTGTTATGAGTACTCTTTATTAAATATTTAATTAATCAGTATTTATTGTATATTAATTGAAAAATGAAACAAATACCAAATCAATTTCTTTCTTTTCCTAATCAAGCTTGAAAGCTGCCGTAAACGGACGTACAAAATTTCAAAGTATTTGTCCATGTTTGGCTTCTTCATCCTCGGAAGACTCGCAATCTTGTTCCGACAAGCTAAATTATCCCTTCCTATACTTCCAATTTTGCTTTCTAATTGCATAAATCCTTCAAATTCCTCACTTTCGCTATCCGATTTGAACAAAGAAGCCCATTCATCTGCCATTGTTTTAATTGCATTCCGAACACATGTAAATTTCATCATAATTAAATGTAAACACACACAATTTATAGAAAAGGAATGTACAAGTTGAAAGATTATTCATTGGTAAAACTGAATTTCATTGGTTCATTTCTGGATTCTCCAACAGTTTTGTCCAATCTAAAGGGTTTTAACAGTGGTATATTTTACGGAAATATCCGTCACCAGGACTGTGCAAGTGTATGTTTACAGCGGATCTATCAGTCACTGCTAATACACACTTGATTATGCAAGCGGATTTATCAGTCACTGCGGACAGAACGATGATAAAAACCGTGTATATATCCGTCAGTGGTAGATAAAGAGTTAAATACCTATTTATGAAAATTGCATGATTGTCATATATGGACTGGTTCTATATTATAAAAACTTGTTTATATACATGTGTATATGTATATATATTTTTGTCAACATTATGATTGTTGCTTAATATTTCATGATTTAATAAAAATGCTCGGCTGGGAGCAGCTTGATACGACCGCAGAGGTCGAACCCTGAACAGTTGGAGCAAGTATGGACACAACATTCAAGCTTGATACAGCACTGAATTTGGATTGTGATTAAATATTTGACACAGCATAGGTTTCTGACACAGAATGAATGTGGTCTAAGAACTTAAAAATTTTTAATTTACCTATTCACACCATATCATTATTATTTGCTTTTATATATAAATCAGAAATAACCAATTTAAAATGGAAAATTTTAAAGAAAAAAAAAAGAAAATAAAATGCTCCGCTGGGCGCAGCTTGATACGACCGCAGAGGTCGAACCCTGAACAGTTGGGGCAAGTATGGACACAACATTCAAGCTTGATACAGCACTGAATTTGGATTGTGATTAAATATTTGACACAGCATAGGTTTCTGACACAGAATGAATGTGGTCTAAGAACTTAAAATTTTTTAATTTACCTATTCACACCATATCATTATTATTTGCTTTTATATATAAATCAGAAATAACCAATTTAAAATGGAAAATTTTAAAGAAAAAAAAAGGAAAATAAAATGCTCCGCTGGGCGCAGCTTGATACGACCGCAGAGGTCGAACCCTGAACAGTTGGGGCAAGTATGGACACAACATTCAAGCTTGATACAGCACTGAATTTGGATTGTGATTAAATATTTGACACAGCACCGGTTTCTGACACAGAATGAATGTGGTCTAAGAACTTAAAAATTTTTAATTTACCTATTCAAACCATATCATTATTATTTGCTTTTATATATAAATCAGAAATAACCAATTTAAGGTAGATGGGGTGTCTAAATTATAATCCATAGAATTTTTTAATAATTTGCCAAAATGTAGTTTATATCAAGCTTTTTAAAAAAAAATTATAAAAAGAATGGGTCACGGGGCTTATTTTCACGCTACAGGTTGTTCAAAATTAACAGATTTTGTATAGATTATGCATGGAAAACCCAATTTTCTGCCATAAAACGAAAACTACACCATAGAATTTTGAGATAAAATATGAGAAGATAGCTTTAATAGTATGCTTTCAGATAAGAAAAAGAAAAAATGGGGTCACCGGACCCGTTTTCTTGCTACATAATAAAATAGGTAAATTCCTAACACATTCTATTGTAAAAGTACCTTTATCTGAATTATCTGCCCTTACATTTGAGTTGCCTCCCCTTATGTGGCAAAGTTGGAAAAAATTGAATCAAACAAAAGTTTTCTGTTTTTTGTAAAATACAACCATAAATATGATAAAACATGTCATTTTCTATATTGAAATGAAAATTCTTACACATGAATTACCTACTACTCTAAAAATTTGCACATTCTATTAAAGATCTAGACCGATTGTTTTCAGGTATTACAATATCCAAGATGGAGGAAGACACCCTATCTACCTTAAAATGGAAAATTTTAAAAGAAAAAAAAATCCCCCCCCCCCCAAATTTTTTGAACCCCCTTATGATTCATCACCCCCAAACTCAATTCCAGCCTTCCCTTTGTGGTATGGTACCTGCAGTACAATTTCAGAGAGATCCATACACTTGAACACAAGTTATTGTCTGGAAACTAGAAAAATGCTTGTTTTTTGGCCCTTTTTTGGCCCCAAATTCCAAAACGTTTAGGGCAATTACCCCCAAACTCAAACCCAGCTTTCCATTTGTGATATGGAACCTTGTAGAACAATTTCATAAAGATCCATACACTTACACACAAGTTATTGTCCTGAAACTAGAAAAATGCTTGTTTTTTGCCCCTTTTTTTGCCCCTAATTCCTAAAATTTTGAGGCAATTACCCCCAAAATCAATCCCAGCCTTCCCTTTGTGGTATGGTACCTTGCAGTACAATTTCAGAGAGATCCATACACTTGAACACAAGTTATTGTCTGGAAACTAGAAAAATGCTTATTTTTGGCCCCTTTTTGGCCCTTTATTCCTAAACGTTTTAGGCAATTACCCCCAAACTCAATTCCAGCTTTCCCTTTGTGATATGGAACCTTGTAGTACAATTTCAGAAAGATCCATACACTTACACACAAGTTATTGTCATGAAACTAGAAAAATACTTGTTTTTTGCCCCTTTTTTTACCCCTAATTCCTAATATTTTGAGGCAATTACCCCCAAAATCAATCCCAGCATTCCTTTTGTGATATGGAACCTTGTGGTACAATTTCAGAGAGATCCATACACTAACACACAAGTTATGTCTGGAAGTTACAAAAATGCTTATTTTTGGCCCCTAATTCCTTAACTGTTGGTACCATAACCCCCAAAATCAAGCCCAACCTTCCCTTAAACTAAAGTTAGAGTGCGAAAACCAATGTGTCTTCGGATGACGACGACGACGTCATACCAAAATACGATTTTGCGGTCGTATAAAAACTATTTTTTACAGTTATTTTTGATTTCTCAAAGTACTGTATATTGATAACTTTGTTTTGATTTGTGAATGTAAAAGGTCTTATAAAAAGGGAAAAAGGCTATCAAGGTAGAAAACATACCTCTGACATGTAAAACAAAGCTATCAATGTTATTAATATAACAAACTTGGCCACCATGTAGAAATAATGTACTTTTCTGGCTGAAAATAAAATAACAGATATATGTATTATATTATAGTATAATTTTTGCTAAAAATTTCTTCAAATCTGTATAAAACTACAATTTTTCTTTCATATATTAATGTGTCCATAGTACACAGATGCCCCACTCGCACTATCATTTTCTATGTTCAGTGGACCGTGAAATTGGGGTCAAAACTCCAATTTGGCATTAAAATAAGAAAGATCAAATCATAGGGAACATGTGAACTAAGTTTCAAGTTGATTGGACTTCAACTTCAGCAAAAACTACCTTGACCAATAACTTTAACCTGACTTGACCAAAAACTTTTACCTGAACCAGACGGACAGACGAACGGATGAACGAACGGACACACAGACCGGAAAACATAATGCCCTTACTACTATTGTACGTGGGGCATAAAAAATCCCTTTTTAACCTGTATAATCAGGAAAATGAGATCTATTTTCAAATCTTCATTTTGTTATTCTCATACACACTAACTTTAATTTACACTCCAATTCATAGAAGATTATATTATCAAATTCACTGCACATTGAGAACATAAAAAATCAGCCGAGAACCACAATATGAACTTTTTTTAGTATATATCATTTGTTAAGTATCCAAATTTATATTGCTATGGTAAAAAGGCTTGTTTCAGAATATTTTCTCTCAGATTTAATAGAGTTCCAGGCAGAACCACCTTGGAAGTACATTTTGAAGGAAAAAAAGGCAATCTGATTAAAAAAAAAGATCAAGAGTCCATGCTTTGCTTACAAGGACAGTCTTTACAAAATTTTTGACTTACAAACCAAATAATCAGTTAGTCATGAATTTCTATAATTTCACATAAGCCTTGTGAGGCCTCTTTTCATGAAAATTTTACTGGCCTGAGTAGTAGGACTTGAGAATACTGCAAGGATAAAAAAAAGTATTTCCCATAATTTTCTCACCTTCAGTTGAAGCTGCAGTTACATGGGGCCATATTGCCATGGTGACATACACAACAAGGAACCAGTAGGAAACCAGTGGCACAAAATAATAAAATTGGTATGGTCTGTTCATAACAAAACACAGCACTACAACCAGGAAGTTTAAACGGAAAAGCACCTAAAATATAAGATGATGGCTTGAGTACATAAGTATAATTGAGATAGAAGCAAAGCAAAAATTAAATATACACGTAGTTATACATAAAATAAGACATAATTGATAAGTGCTAGTTAATGTTCATTGTCAGATATTTCATGCATATCTAAGACAAAATAAAAAGATAGTGATCGAAAGCAAGACCAGAATATATATCCATATACTGTAAGCAAAGAAGGTACAATGAAAATTTTTCACTGAATCCATTTTGTTTTTATATCTTTTACCCAAGATGCAGCAGCACCACAATTTTTGATTTGATAATATACAGAAGACTTTAAAATAGAGACTACAAACAGCTTTCTGTATTCACAGTGTTCAGTTTATGCAGTGTAAATTACAATAAGCAAATAGGGAAATATATGGGACTTTGATATTAGCTCTGTTAAGCATGTAATCTCAAATGTCAGCGTTTCAGTTTAAATAGTTTTCATTATATTGCACTCCTGCTTGACTACCAATCGAATTTTGTTTAATCATAATCTTTCCTGTTTCACCAGGCCTGGATCCAGGATTTGGTGTTAGGGCACGCTCCTGAAAATTAGGAATAAGAGGACCTTATTTTGGCACAAAACTAGCTGTAATTTTACCTTTATTATATATTTTTTTTCTTTTTTGAGAGGGAGGGGGCACACGCTGGATGCACTGCACCTTAATCTGCACCTGGTCTCATAAGTTTCAACTTGAGGTAAATTCACTATATTTAATTTTCACATGTTTCATACAGTAACTTGGTGCCACCAAGTTGGTGGTCATAATAAAATGTCTTAGAAATTCTTAATATTTTTTTTTATTCACACTGTAGTGAATCCTGTGTTCATGGACTGTGTGTGCTCAGTTGCAATTTTGGGTTTAAAATTCAAGAACAAGAAATTTATGTTGATTGATAAAGACTGTACCATGATCCTCATTTTAGCCTTAAGCAGGCAACAAAAAAATTCAATAAACTTGACAAGATTAAACACTGTAGCTCAGATGGATTTTGTGATTTTCATCAGTCCATGGAGGGCCCACTCAAATGTTAACATAGATTTCATTAAAATATTGTATACAAAAGGTTAAGTCATTCTAGTTTTCAAAGGTATATATAGGTTTCGATTGACACATTTTAAGCAAGAGCTACTGCCCTTTTGTCACCATGTCGGAGGTCTAAATGTGCAACAAAATCCTTCATAAATCAGCCAAATTCAACTTGTTATACTGATTGCTAGACTTTAGAAAAAGTGTATTTCTGAACAATTTATATTTCCCTTAGCTTCCTTAATTCATCACTACAATCTAGTAAGGATTTCTTATCATGCTTGCATGTATTGCATGTTTCAATTTGGTTTGTCATTAAACCATTCAAAATGGCAGCCAAGGGAAATAACTCAAATTCAAATTACATCATTTGAAACCTATCTACTGTATGTTCAATTCTTGATAAACTAGATGTGTTAGAACGACACGAATGGCCCCATCTCAAAAAGTTGAATAAATCTGCAATTTCAACAACACATGTGGACACAAACATGCATGGATAGTATCCAGCTCTCAAGACCAATACTAGTTTGATGAAAAATTTCCTTGATCAATGAACACAAACATGCATGGATAGTATCCAGCTCTCAAGACCAATACTAGTTTTATGAAAAATTTCCTTGATCAATGAGTAGTTAAATTTCAAACTATCAGCAAAAAGGAAGTGGATGTACTGCAGATCTAACAAGATGTGTTGAAACGACATGAAAATCAGCATAGCAGAACGAAACATAAACTTGATCTGTAACTCATCATGGTAGACTTACATATAAAAAATCAGCGCAAAATTTGATAGCGTATAGAAAAAAAGTCTGTATAACTGTGCTTTCAACAATTTTCAAGTCCAAAACCCGTTATTGCGGCAAAAATCAGCAGAGCGGAACGAAACTTAAACTCAATCTGTAACTCAGCATGGTTAACTCACATACCAAAATTCAGCCCAATATATGAAGGTGTTTAGAAAAAAAGTCTGGATAACTGTGATTTTCAACAATTTATCAAAGTCCAAAGCCCGTAATTTCTGCAAAAATTAGCAGAGCGGAACAAAACTTAAACTTGATCTGTTAACTCACATACCAAAAATCAGCCCAATATCTGAAGGCGTTTAGAAAAAAATTGTGTATAATGGTTTGTTGCAGAATGACGGAATGTCAGAATGATGGAATGACGGAATGACAGAATGATGGAATGACGAAATGACGGACAAGGGTAAAACTATATGGCCCCAACAACTTTGTTGTGGGGCCATAATAAAAACAACTTGCATGTCAACTTTGTAGGATATATAGGTTTATGGGAAAATCTAGAAGTTTGGCCTCCTCTAGATCTGTGCACATTTCTACCACGAATAGATGGAAATGACAAAAATCCATCTGAACTGCAGGGTAATCACATACATGACATACTACCACAATCGACAAATCAATTTAAACATGTTAAGAAATAACAAGAGGTGATTTGATATACAATATATGGGATATTCATATATAAAGGGAAATAACTCTAGCTGACGTCATATATCAGGAGAAATAACTCTAGCTAACTTCCCAAATAACTACAGCTGACTTCATACATGCAATATTGAAAGGAACTAAACATGCTAATGCAAAAGTAATAATCTGAAATATGTAAATGAATCTCATGCATATTCAAATCATTACAACAAGCAAGTAACCCAAGGTTATGTTCTGATTCTGCACACTTCTGGCGTTAAAACATTTATACATTGTTGTAAATGCATTTCATATCAATGGTTTTCTTTATTCAGAGAATTTGGTGTAAAAGGTAGTTCTATGATTTTTATGGTAAATTTATTCACATTTTTTAGTGACAGGAACCTTGATCTTTGACCTACTGTCAGAATACAAAAAGCTTAACTGGTTAGTCAGATCATTTTTTTCAATTTTAATTTATTTCATATACATATGCATGTGTATTGAAATCAATTGTCTAGTATATTGATTGCTTGATTAACAATGAAAACATTCCAATTTTACATAACTAATTAACACAAATAAATCTTTTCTATTAGCTTGTGGGAAAATCTAAAGAAAACCTGATTTACACAGTATTATGGGTATAGGTGTGTCAAAATAAATACAGTTGTAAGCTTAAATTTAGTTTATCATTTCATATATATTATCCCAAGTTTTTGGTAGGGTTGGTCTTCCTCAGTCTTTAGTTATATATGTTGTGTTTTGTACACTATTGTTTGTCTTTTGAGCTTTTTCTGTTTTTAGCCAATTGTCAATTTATTGTTCAACTTATGAGTTGGAATGTCCCTTTGGTACCGTTCACCTCTCTTTCACTCTAACTTATTATTGTGTGGACTTAAATGCAAAAATGTCAATCATAATTTCAGTATATTCTAACTGAGAAAATTTCAATGCTACTTTAAAACTTTATTTAGATATTAATGTAAACTGCTATACAGATGCATAAAATATCCCCCCCCCCCCCACCAAAAAAAGAAAAAAAAGCGTTCATAACTGTATATGTTTCACTGAAGTGTGCAGAACATAAAACATAAATGGGCTGTACCATTAAAATGAATGTAAATTGATTGGATTGTTTGTTGTTAACTTAAAATCCAGTGGCAAATATTTCAGGTACATAATAGATAAAAAAAAAGGCTAAATTGATTGATATTTTGATCTAAAAACATGTGGAAAGACTGAATTTGCTTTTTATCTTAATCTTAGACAGCTTGGAAAACATGCCTTCCACCTCTGTTACATTCATTTAAATGGAATAGCCCTAAAGCTATCAGACAAGAAGTGACCCACTTACTTCCAGCATAATACGAAATGTATTCTGTCGAGATTGCCAGTTTAAGCAGCCTCCCAACTGAAAATTTAGTATTATCTTACATGAACAAATTTAACAAATTAATAACTTGCACTGTAAAACAATAAGTAAATCCCACATCAATCATGATTATTTTTGTTCTTTGGGTCCTCCACCATAAACTTTGTGGATATTAAATTTTTAAAATAAAAAAAATAACCTGTGTCTAATTTGAAAGCACCGTCTTTTAAAATTCTATATAGACGAAAGAGTAAAAAGTTGTTTATGTCTTCCAAGAATCCAAAGAACTAAGTTTAAATAGTGTGGCCTAACCCTCCTTTTTTTTAACATAAGCATATATAGTTTTGTTAACTCTATAACTGACTTCAAAGCTTATCCAATTAAAAGTTGTATAGGGAAAATGGAAGGCATGTTTTATCTAAACCTCATTTGCTTGTACTCTATTGTACAAATAAAGTAGCAAAATATAAGAGCACAACGATATATTCATTTGACATCATCATGTTTTGATCTTTAAAATTAGTTTAATATTTGCCACTGGACACCCATCATCATCATATTATCTTAATTCCCGAAAGGATTCTAGCCCAAGTAATTAAGTGCCTCCAAACTCTCTTACATAGGGCAAATTCCCATGGAATAACCCAATAATGTATTTATACATAAGGAACTTTTAGATTCATCTGTATAATCCATAACAATTTCATTCCGTACTACCAGAAACTGGAGTCAACAGTTGATGAAAATGATCAAATTGTTGTAGCCCGAAGACTTTATTCTATACACCGATTTTGAATTTGTATGCCATTGCAAACAAAAAAATAAATATTTTCCAGTTATTTTTTTGCATCACAGCTGCAAACATGTGATGTCACTAACCGATAGAGATTGTTTTGCAAACATTATTAGGTCAACAGGTACAAAATTGATGCCAGTGGTAGCAAGTCCCCAAAATAGGTGTATAAAAAAACCTTTTGATTGTAATGTTAAAAGGGTATAATACTCTGAAATTAATAACTTCATCAGTCAACTACAAGTACATACACACAAGTGTTGTACAATGAGACAATACATGGTATCTTACTTTCAAAAAAACAAAACATGCTCAGCATCTATAAAATATGCCCATCATGCATCAAAAGCAAAATTCATGCAATCTATATATATAGCTATCAACTGAAATAGCCATTCAAATTTTTCCTTTAGTCAGTCTAAATTTAGCATGAAAAATCATGAAAAAATATGTTGAAACCATCATTGATACTAAAACAATAGACATGATAGAGTATTTCAATCATGAACATGTCTGTACAACCTAATAAAATGCTTCGCTGGGCGCAGCTTGATACGACCGCAGAGGTCGAACCCTGAACAGTTGGGGCAAGTATGGACACAACATTCAAGCTTGATACAGCTCTGAATTTGGATTGTGATTAAATATTTGACACAGCATAGGTTTCTGACACAGAAAGAATGTGGTCTAAGAACTTCAATTTTTTTAATTTACCTATTATGGTCCAATGTCCAAAATCAAAATACATGGTTAGATTCAGCATATCAAAGAACCCCATATATTCAATTTTTGTTGAAATCAAACAAAGTTTAATTTTGGACCCCAACTTGGACAAACTTGAAAACTGGTCCCATAATCAAAAATCTAAACACATGTTTAGATTCAGCATATCAAAGTACCCGAAGAATTCAATTTTTGTTAAAATCAAACTAAGTTTAATTTTGGACCCTTTGGACCTTAATGTAGACAAATTTAAAAAACGGGACCCTAAATTAAAAATCTAAAAACACAGTTAGATTTGGCATATCAAAGAACCCCAATAATTCAATTTTTGATGAAATCAAACAAAGTTTAATTTTGGACCCTTTTGACCTCAATATGAACCAATTTGATAGCGGGCCCACAAATAAAAAATCTAAATACATGGTAAGATTCAGCATATCAAAGAACCCCATATATTCAATTTTTGTTGAAATCAAACAAAGTTTAATTTTGGACCCCAATTTGGACCATCTTGAAAACTGGGCCAAAAATCTAAAATCTAAATACATGTTTAGATTCAGCATATCAAAGAACCCCATATATTCAATTTTTGTTGAAATCAAACAAAGTTTAATTTTGGACCCCAACTTGGACCAACTTGAAAACTGGTCCCATAATCAAAAATCTAAACACATGTTTAGATTCAGCATATCAAAGAAACCCCAAAAATTCAATTTTTGTTAAAATCAAACTAAGTTTAATTTTGGACCCTTTGGACCTTAATGTAGACCAATTTAAAAAACAGGACCCAAAATTAAAAATCTAAATACACAGTTAGATTTGGCATATCAAAGAACCCCAATAATTCAATTTTTGATGAAATCAAACAAAGTTTAATTTTGGACCCTTTTGACCTCAATATGAACCAATTTGATAGCGGGCCCACAAATAAAAAATCTAAATACATGGTAAGATGCAGCATATCAAAGAACCCCATATATTCAATTTTTGTTGAAATCAAACAAAGTTTAATTTTGGACCCCAATTTGGACCAACTTGAAAACTGGGCCAAAAATCTAAAATCTAAATACATGTTTAGATTCAGCATATCAAAGAACCCCATATATTCAATTTTTGTTGAAATCAAACAAAGTTTAATTTTGGACCCCAACTTGGACCAACTTGAAAACTGGGCCCATAATCAAAAATCTAAACACATGTTTAGATTCAGCATATCAAAGAACCCTAAGAATTCAATTTTTGTTAAAATCAAACTAAGTTTAATTTTGGACCCTTTGGACCTTAATGTAGACAAATTTAAAAAACGGGACCCAAAATTAAAAATCTAAATACATGGTTAGATTCGGCATATCAAAGAACCCCAATAATTCAATTTTTGATGAAATCAAACAAAGTTTAATTTTGGACCCTTTGGACCTCAATGTGGACCAATTTAAAAACGGGGCCCAAAATCCAAAATCTTAATACACGGTTAGATTCAGCATATTAAAGAACCCCAAGAATTCAAGAATAAAACCCCATTGAAATTGATCAAGAAATAAGCAATTTATACGAAGTATCTTCTTTTGCACAATACTGTGCAATTGAATATTTCTTGCTATTGCGCAATACTGTACAATTGACAATTTCTTGCTATTGCGCAATATTGTGCTATTGGATATTTCTTGCTATTGCGCAATACTGTTAAATTGAAGATTTCTTGCTATTGCGCAATACTGTGCAATTGAAAATTTCTTGCTATTGCACAATACTTATTATATAATAATTTACACATCCTGTTTGGTGTGTATCTCCTACCATATCATTATTATTTGCTTTTAAATATAAATCAGAAATAACCAACTTAAAATGGAAAATTTTAAAAGAAAAAAAAAGGAAAAAAAGAAAAAAAAAAAAAAAAAAAATCCCCCCCCCAAATTTTTTGAACCCCCTTATGATTCATCACCCCCAAACTCAATCCCAGCCTTCCCTTTGTGGTATGGTACCTTGCAGTACAATTTCAGAGAGATCCATACACTTGAACACAAGTTATTGTCTGGAAACTAGAAAAATGCTTATTTTTGGCCCCTTTTTGGCCCCCAATTCCTAAACGTTTCGGGCAATTACCCCCAAACTCAATTCCAGCTTTCCCTTTGTGATATGGAACCTTGTAGTACAATTTCAGAAATATCCAAACACTTACACACAAGTTATTGTCATGAAACTAGAAAAATGCTTGTTTTTTGCCCCTTTTTTGGCCCCTAATTCCTAAAATTTTGAGGCAATTACCCCCAAAATCAATTACAGCCTTCCCTTTGAGATATGGAACCTTGTGGTACAATGTCAGAGAGATCCATACACTTACACACAAGTTATTGTCTGAAAGTTACAAAAATGCTTATTTTTGGCCCCTTTTTGGCCCCTAATTCCTTAACTGTTGGTACCATAACCCCCAAAATCAATCCCAACCTTCCTTTTGTGGTATTGAACCGTATGGTGGAATTTCATGGAGATCCATTCACTTAAACTAAAGTTAGAGTGCGAAAACCAATGTGTCTTCGGACGACGCCGGACGACGACGACGACGACGCCAACGTCATACCAATATACGACCAAAAAATTTTTAATTTTTGCGGTCGTATAAAAACTGGACAAGGGTCAACAACACCATCTTGATATAAAATTCAGGTTCATTTCTATCTAAAGGTCAAAACAACATGTTGATAGAAAGTTCAAAGTTCAGACCAAATAATGGCTAATCTGCTTCAATTTTTTTTTAATATTTTAACTCATATCAATCAATAAGAAAGTCTTGCAGCCTGATACATGTACCAGAAATATGTTTTTCATCCTTTGTTCCTTAGGGCTATTCAAGAAATAAATGTAGGAGGGAAAAAGGGGGGTGGGTGGAGTGGAAGAACATTTTATTTCACCCTGCCATGCATAAAATTTTAATTGATTAATAAACTCATATTAAAGTAACACTGGTTTTAGTTTCTAAGGATAAAGCCATACAAATTTAATTTCTCGGATGAATACTGCTTATATATTCTTATCAAAACCAACAACATTTTTTTGTCAAGTAAAGGTTATTTTAGACTGACTGTACTTTTTCATTCTGATCTTAATCAGATCTCATCTTCTAGCCCCCTCTTGTATACCAAATTTTGAAATTTTTTCCCAATCTTAATAAAAAGATGCAAACAAATCTAACATGTTAGTGTACATGTGTTACCCAAATTTCTACCAGTTAGACATTAAAGACTTACCATACTACATCTGTATAAACTATATTCTCCTTTCTTCCAGAAGAATGAAAAATGGCCGAAGCCAGTCAGAAATAAGTAGGAGGAAACAAGTACTCGTATCTGCATGTAGATCGGCAAAACCTGAAATAAATCATAAATGTACTACTGTAGGCTCTTTATTTTCTTGGATATCAATTTTCTTGGATAGAGGTAAAAATTGTATTTTTGTGGATATTAGATTTCCTGGTTTTGCAAAAGATTGTATAAAAGACTATCAGCAATGTATACTTTGTTTTACATTTAAATTTGTGGATTCCCTTTACCCACAAAGGCAACGAAAATTGGTACCACACGTATATTAATGAGTTGGTGAGTGATATGACAGTGGAAGAATACAGAATCAAATAAGACAACCCTGTTACAGTTGCTACACAAGGAGCTAAAATTTATGACCACCCAACAATCCATGTCATTTGTATTCTGGTGGATAGTCATTTTATTAGTAATCATACCACATCTCCTTATGGTTATAATTAAAGCTTGGGATAAGAAATGATTAAAATTGTTTATTTTGTGCTTTATTCATTATAAAATTTCACTTTTTCCAACCAAAATAAAACACAATGTTGGGAAATAATAATGCCTTTTCACATCTTTGAGGTCATACAAAAGATGATGTCAAGACATTGTCAACAAAGTTACATCAAAACAGATATACAGTGAAACTTCTCTGAACCTGTCCCTCTGAATACCAGTTCTCCCCTCATACTGGCCAAATGAAGAAGTCCCGGCCGATTTGTATTCAAATAAATGGTCATGTAACCTTATAAATCGAGCCACCACTTTAAACAGGATACCAGTCACTATTTTCTTATTTGGTTAATCAAAATCAATCAAATTTAACCTCATAAAACCAGGCTTGTCATCTGAAAGCACCAATGCTTACATATAATTGTTATGTAAACAAAGAATATAATACTTATCTGGACAATTAGGACACCAGCATGAGGACTGCCCACTATTTACCTGTCAAAGTTATCTCAATACTCAAGGTTAATATATTCTGACTGATTATCACCCATGCTAATAATAAGTGGTAATGTAATTCTTGATTTAAATTTTCAACAAACCAGCCGTTTTCAGTGGTCTGTCGGGTGGCCGTTTTGAGAAGTTTCACTGTAGTTCCTTGCATTTTCTACTTCATTTAACGAAAAGTCAATGTAATAAAAAGTGCAACAAACCCAAGTAAACAAATGCTAAAGATAATTTGGCTCTATCATTATCATTACGGTTTCTTTTCTGAGGTCTTTATATAATCATTACATAAAAGTAACCAAGCAACATCTATGATGTACACACAATGTAAATAAATGTGTTGTTTGGTCACTTGTTGAGGTATTCTATAAATATCTTACTTGTGTTGCTGTATTCAAATGTTGTGTACATGTTTTTTCCAAACAAAATAATGACACGGTGATTTCAATGTTATGTAAGTTACCAATGCTTACCTTACTGGCTCCTGTTAAATGGTAAATTAATATAACAAGCTGCATCCAACCTTTCCATTCATCTGTCTGGTCTCTATGTAAAACTACAGTCTGAACATAAAAAAATATGAATAATTTTAATCAATTAAAGGGCATTTATAATTAGCTGTAAAATTCATGTTCACCGATTTGACTCAAATTCTCATATTTTATTTATAACATACTAAAGCGTATATCCAAATTACAATAAGTCTGAAATAAACAATTAACAATGCATGGACAAGATAATATATATTAACATTTCATGTGTTTTTCAGTCTAGACGCCATCTAATTAACCATCGAGATAGATAGCCACCTCGTGCAATTGGACTTTTCTAGGTCTGTTTGATTACATGTTATAGTTTCAAAAAAGTAAGTTAATCATCTTTTTTACCTGTATAAGAATGATTTTTTGTGGATCGAATCAGTCAACGAAATGGTTCACCTTTGTTTCACTTTCAATGTTGACATTCTTTTCCTTTTAATGGTTGAACACGACTAATACATGCGTAACCAATCTCTAACTAATAGGTTAAATTGAAGGTCACATGAATAAGGATTCAATGAGGTTGAATTATTCACTTGCAAGTTAATAATTCATCAGTGATGTTTCTTAGCTTATTTTGACAAAATTGAACTAAAGTGGCTGCTAAAAGTGAATTATTATTTCACTATTTCACTTTCATTAATGATTGAACAAAAAAAATCATAAGTTACTTTTTTTTATATATCTCATAGCCAATGCCCCTTTAAGGCAAAAAAAATTTATATTTTTACGGTTTTGGTAATTGGGTTGATAGGTCGTAAAAATTTTCTTTTTTTTGTGTTTTGATGGTTCCAGTTCCAATTTTGTCAATTAACGAAATAAAAATGTTTAATATGCTTTTGATCGATTCTGAAATTTGATAAAATAAGTTAGCTGTTACAACAAATGATATGTTGCAGAATCTTTTTGAAGAAATCTTTCTAAAAAATCATAGTGTCAGTGTTAAATTAGTTTGTGTGTTTGTTTCTTGGTGATTAACCCCAATTCCAGTGACTTAAGCTATATCATGACAGTTATTTTCTATTGGAGGGGGAAGCACAAGTACCCAGAGAGAACCACAGATATTTAACAGGAAAACAACAAATTAAAGTTGGTCGGTAAATCCTTAAAACAAACTTTTTTTTCAATATTTATGCATTAAAGAACTGTTTGAAGCATATCCCCATTTTAACTTATGATTGTTTAATTAGATTATACCAGAATACAGGTTTTTTTCATAACTCTTTTATCTTTGGACTTGTGAATAACATTAATACCACTCAAATTACAATTTCAATTATGAACATTTCTGGGTCTGACTAGTATAACAAAATCTACTTTGAGTCAAAAGCAATCTGATTAAAATGCAGATCCTCTGTCTAAGCTTTGCTTATAAGGATCTGACAACACTGTAACACCCCGTTTTACTTTCTGTTCTGGTAATTATTACATCAGCCAATGAAATTTCAGCCTTCAAATTGTTGAAGACGTGTATTACTCCAACAAAACCTGAGGATCCCGAAAGTTCTTTGAAATAGAAAGTAAAACCGAGCCTTTTCAGATCCTTGTAAGCAAAGCTCGGACACAGGATCTACATTTTAATCAGATTGAGTCAAAAGATATATTTACACTTGGACGCCATGATAAAGCAAAGTTTGCTGAAAATAGTGTTAAACCCTAACAATGAATCAATTAACTCGACCTTTATTCTACCATGACTGCTTACAAATTGCTTATAAGCTTAGTTCCATCATAGAATTGTGTCTGTCTAAAGAAATAAGACATGTTAAGTGGTTAATAGATATAAGAAGATGTGATATGAGTGCCATTGAGACAACTCTCCATCCAAGTCAAAATTTATAAAAGTAAACCATTATAGGTCAAAGGACGGTCTTCAACACGGAGCCTTGGCTCACACCGAACAGCAAGCTATAAAGGGCCCCAAAAATAACTAGTGTTAAACCATTCAAACGGGAAAACCAACGGTCTTATCTATATAAAAAACGAGGAAACGAGAAACACTTATGAACCACATCAAGAAACAACAACTACTGAACATCAGATTCCTGACTTAGGACAGGTGCAAACAATTGCTAAATCTATTTATTGTAATTTCAATATTTCTTTTGGCCTTGTTTAACTCATCTTTTTGGTGCCATCTTAATTTTCATCTTCTCATTGTTCAAGACAATGCTCATACTTGAAAACTATGCAGTAGAATTGGTATCGAGGGATTCGTCTCTTGTACATTTATGCCATTTATTTTTATGTTCAAAGAACCACATACCTGTTCAGTACTCTCTGTGAAGAAAAATCCAAGGATCATCACATAAGCAAATGGTAGGAAGAAGTTAACATGTGTGTAGTACTTATTCTCTTTCATAAAGAAGTTCGTTCTGTAAATATATATATATTACAGTTTTTATATATATAGCAATTAAATTTGTTCAAATTTATCTGACCTGTCTCTGCCTATTTATATTGTTCACAGATGTCAATCTTAATTACAATGCTTGAGCAAACATTTATACAAACAAAGCAAACAAGCCAACCAACATCTTAATCTACAAGCATTAGGAAATTAGCTCTAAAGCATCTAACAACATAAGAACATCTTCATAAGAGTAAGCATCTAATGTTTTAGAATCTAGTTGCTTTATTTTAATAAAATTTTGAAATTTTATTCAGTTGAGTTGTTTTGTTTCTCTCTTAAATGAAAGCTTGACAGATTAAGATACACTGTTGACAAATATTCAGAACGAAACTAGAAAATTAGAAATTATAAACATAAGATATTATTAAACAAACTGTACTGTCCCTTAACATGCTTAAACATTCAAACTGTACCAAACATTTTTTTCAGTAGATTCTACAGAAAACATACATTCAGTTATTTTACTGCACAAAACACAAGAAAACACAGATAAGTCAAACCTGGGAAAGTGCAAAATGAACAAACTTAAACCTGTGTAAATTAAAACTCTGTCTAGACTTGAGAGAGCTTCAAAGCCTTTGAAAAATTTATTCACACCTTTTCTATCCTCAGACAGCTTGACATATTGTATAGACATATGTCTAATGTTGAAGACTGTGTACTATAAACCAACTTATTTTTGCGGATATTTTATTTCGCGTTTAGCCCTTTCTAGCCCAATTCACGGCGATTTAATTTTAATTAGACAAGGAAAGATCCAAGTTTTGAATTTTCGCGACGATTTATATTCGCATTATTTTTCTTCTTGTGAAAGTCACGAAAATAAATCACTCACGAAAATTAGTTGGTTTATAGTATTGACCAATAGATGTCTGTCAGGTGTAAATGTCATTGGAGTGCTGTTTTATTAAAATATTCCATAAATCTTTTATTCACACTAAATTAAACTCTTACATAAAAAAACACACTAATTTTACGAAGTGATTTAACCTAGGTAAAATATACATCTGTTAGTCCAAATAAATCTCCCTCAGATCCCCAGCGGCTAGGTTTAGTTGAGTTTTATTGTATCTAAAATCCATTTACAGCTGAACAATAAGAGTGTGTGAAAGAATGAAGAATTTAGGTGTGATTGTTTGTTAAGTTTGAATTGAAATAATCTGACTGAAATACAGGTCCATGCTTCTCTTACAAGGATCTGACAACACTCAGTTCTACTTTCTGTTCTGGTTATGAAATTTCAACCTTCAAATTTTTGAAGGTGGGTATCATTATGACAAAACCAGAGGATCCCAAAAGGTTGTTAAAACAGAAAGTAGAATGAAGTGTTGTCAAATCCTTGTAGGTGAAGCTTGGACACAGGATTTGTATTTTATCAAGGTGGCTTTGGAATCTTGATTAGCTATTTTCTACCTATTTCAAGAATTACAGATGTTAGCGTTGACAAATCAAATAGACCTTATCGCTATTTTGAAATCTGCACCGCTTGACCCAAGAATATGTCCCTCTTGAACTATTGACGTCATACAACAATCACTTTTCCATTGTGGCGTCAGATATTTTCTATTATGACGTCAAAATTTTACAGGAACCTTTGCGATGTGCAGTAATGGCAGAAAAATAGCGATAAGGTGTATTATAGAAATGAGACAAGGATATCAATAGAACCATTTTGACCAGTTAGATTTAATATTTATCATATATAATAAAGAATATTTTTTATAGAAAGGAAGTGCAAGGATATCTACAGAACACAATTGACCTGTTAAATTTTATATTTACCATTGCTTATAAAGAATTTTGGGTTGAATTAATAAATAAGCAATCTTTAATTCTGCATACAACTACCAAAAAAAATTACCTAGCTGTAAAAACATATAGAAATAAAAAAGCATTTCTTTATTTAAATCTGTAGCAATGCCACTGGGTTAAAATTCTGAAAAAAGCAAGCATATTGTATAGGAAAAAAGAAGACAAGTAGATATATGTCTAAATGCTCATTTCTTTTAATAACTATGTGAAGAAAAAACTATAGCACAATGCATGTACATAGTGTTGATAAAAAATGTTGCAAAAATGTTCTGTCAAAATCAAAGAATGAAAGTTTAAACTCCCTCTATGGACATATCTAAAGAAGACCTATCAAGAAACATAACCATGCAACCAATGCTTTTATTGTGTCATGAAGCCCCAAACATGTGGATGTGTTTTCTTTATTGTGTGAATTTTAGTAGTATATTGGTAGATATATAAAAGAACAGAGTTGCAATGTCCCCTGCATTGCACATATTTTATCTGTCCAAGGGCAATTCCTACAAAAGTACCTTTTTTTTTGTTCTTTAAAACAATTTATTAATATCTTCGAGAAATGAAGGCTTCAGAGCAAATGCGATGCGAAATCCTTTAATTAATTTTTCCGAAGGGCATAACTCGTTAAAAATATTTGATCAGCACTTATTTTCGAAAGTATAAAAGACATTGCTGATATAAACCTATGATATAAGTTTCATAAAATTCTGGCAAGAATTGTACACATGAGAGCGCTAACAATGCAATTTTCCATATAATCAATATTTCCAAGGGACATTACTCTTTTAACATGTTTAAAAATAATTGAATGGCACCAATTTTCAAATGTGTCTGAGACATTGATGATATAAACCTATAATATAAATTTCATACAAATCTGGCAAGAATTGTACACATGAGAGCACTCATAAGGCAGTTTTCCATATAATTAACATTTCCAAGGGGCATAACTCTATTAAAAATAGTTGATCGGCACTGATTTTCGAAATCGTCCAAGACATTGCTAATATAAACCTATGATACAAGTTTCATTAAAATCTGGCAAGAATTCTACACATGAGAGTGCTAACGATGCAATTTTCCATATAATTAATGTTTACAAGGGGCATAACTCTTTTAAAAATAATTGATCCTTGCTGATTTTCGATCTTGTCCAAGATATTGCTAATATAAACCTATGATATAAGTTTCATAAAAATCTGGCAAGAACTGTACACCTGAGAGTGCTAACAAGCCTGGACGGACGGATGGAAGCCTGGTATTTCCATGTCCCCGACAACGTGTTTTGCTGGAGACAATCATGGGTGACACAGATATTAACCTAAACACAAAATTTATTTTATTCAAGTATGAAATACATGTATGTCATGATGACCTGAATGTTGCTAAATATTGCAGTTTTAGGTTAGAGGATGTAATGCAAAATATCTCTGATATTTGCAGTGATATTGTTGTCTTTTTTCAAAACTACCTCTACCGTTAAATGCGTTTTTCATTGGGAAAAATGCATAATTTTTTTGAAATTGGGAAGTTTATTTTTTTTTAAACACATCTCCGATTTTTTGCTGACCTTTGTTGTCTTTTTTGCATAGTTTTTTCGCGTATATTTTGGTTGTCAGACATTTTCAACCTGAAAGGTACTTTTTGGGGAGGGGAAAGAAATGGAAACAATGATGGTACTTAATGCATTGAACATGTGTTACAAACACCGTGATGATTCTGATCAGAAACCCAGATCTCAAAAGCGCTTTCATAATATCAAAATAATAATATGAATACGAAATTTACAACCATTACTACCAATGCCATCACTGTTTGGGGAAAATGTAAAATTTATTGGGAGGAATTTTATGCCATTTTTATTAGTAATTGGGAATTTTCTTTAGGGGAAAAAGCCAAATTTCAGATGTAATTTGAAGCAAACAATATCACTGATTTGGTTAAAAATTGTTGAAAGTGGACTTCATTTTGGGGCCTTTTATAGCTTTCTATGCTTTATGGGTTTTGCTCATTGCCATACGTTGACCTATAGTTGTTAACGTCTATGTCATTTGGTCTCTGGTGGAGAGTTGTCTCATTGGCAATCATACCACATCTTCTAATTTTTATATTAAATGCAAAATTATCAAAAATCATCAGTGAAATGTAGGTTACAGTGGCCAATTTGTAATAGAGATGTAATGCATGTATATTTACGGAAATAAAATTTTGTAATATAACCAATTTATCATCATGGTTTCCTGAGAAATAAACATTACATGTAATACAAAAATTTACAAAAGTCACTCAGGCATGGAATGTAGGTGAAGTTAACTCTATATAAAAATAAGGAGATGTGGTATGATTGCCACCACTTTAAATCAAGAATGTTTTATACAAGAAAACTATGGTGGTGATGTATCACGGATACTCTTTATATGTTGTTCTTCATTACAAACTTAGCCAAATTTAGAATGGTGTATAGGTGGGTAATAGACCTTTTATTGATTGAGCTTTAATTTGAGGGCATAAACAGCATACTTGTCAACTGACCCGTATATTGCAGGTCACACGCGAGAATTTCACCCCATACTTGGGATTTTTTAAAATACCTGCCGGGTCGCTAAATAACCTGGGAATTTGAAAAATGACCCGTTTTCATCTGGATTCTTGAACCATTAGACTGATTTCATAAGTGATTTTCTTTCGAAATACTGGCAAATTCATAATTCTTCCTGGACAGGAAGTTCAACTAGCTGTGTTAACTGTCAAATTAAGTGACACATTAAGTGCATGGCTTCACTTGACAGCTTTGGTGTCAAACACACTGTTAATTAACACCAATTACCTTAGATTAAGGTCATAAATAATTTGTCTATTTCAAAGTTGTTTGACGATAAATTTGCATTACTTCCCCTTTTTTTTCACCTTTCACAATATACTCCTTAATTCTATGTTTTTTTTTGGTAAAAAGATCAAATCTAAAACAAATTGAATGCAAATACATATCATTAATATTTCAATGGCTTATTATGCAATGAAAAAATAAAATTAAAGTTTTAAATTATTTTCAGTTAGTACTTCACCATGTGAACATATTTTGGAAACTGTTCGATTTAAAATGAAAAGAAATGTCCCCTAAATACTTAAATTCAGCTGAAAAAAAGTTCGTACACGTAATGACCTGAGATTTTCTTCTCCAATGCAGGTCATGACCTGCATTTTCATTTTCATAGGTTGACAGGTATGTAACATGTATAGTCAAAACTGTATATAAAAGGTATCCCTTGAGACAACAACAAAAATTGACCTTACATGAGAGATGACCTTTGAATTGAGGTTCGAAATTCATAGGTATTACTACAGTGGGAAAAGAAATGATGACCTGCAAAGAGAGGTTTTTGCTTATTGGAGGTGACTTTTAAGGTTTTACTGTATTTCATAGCCAAGGGCATCTCTACCTATCTCAACTATGTTGTAAGCTGGGCTTAAGAAAGTCTGACTTGTATAAATTAACATTCTTAAAAAATATTATTGATAAAAAATGTATTGCAATTAATTGATCCTTTTCTGAGTTACTTCCCCTTATGAAGTATACTTGCCTATCACAAAGATAAACATATCCCATAATCATTCCAAGTTTGGCTAGAGATACCATAACTTCATATAAGGATTCATATGGTTCTTTTGGTGCTCCATTTTTGTTGCCATTCTCTGTAATATAAACAATAGAGATTTTGTGTCACGCATCCAGTCATGAAATTTCATACATATTTATAATTTTTTTTAAACTTTACCACATGTACCTCTTGAACTGTTCATTATTACGTATAAAACATTGAACTGTAAAATCTTTAATTGAATATGTCATTGTGCTTGTAATTTTTTTTTTGCATGGATTTGTTTATGAGGGCCTGAGGGAAGATGAGCAATTGTAACCAACTGAGTTTACTTTCTTCAAATAAAGAATTTATTATTATTATAAGTAATACACTATAACCCATTTTTTCCCCCACTACATTAATGATTGTCATTCTTCCCTCAGTTCAATTAAATGACATTTCTTTCTTACTTAGCCACCAAGTCTGAAAAAAAAATGTCTCTGTGACGCACAAATAAAAAAGGTAGCTTCGTGATTGGCGCCTAGGATAGAGTTATGCATTGGCGAAATAACTTTTGTGTTCATGAATCATTATACATCTTGTGCATGTCAACATGATTTATGGGGTGAATAACATGTTGTCATGGTTAATAAATAAGACTTTTTTTCTCATTTGAATAGTTTCACATTTTGTCATGTCTGGGCCTTTGATAGCTTACTATACAGGAGGGTTTTACTCATTGTTGAAGGCCTTATAGTGACTTATAGTTGATAACATCCTCTTCCTTTGGTCTCAAGTGGATAGTTATCTCATTGGTAATCATACCACACCTCCTTATTATTATGTTTCTGCATTTACCATCATCTGGAACATTCAAGAGCCAAATTTAGAAAATCTTAATGGCTAACAATGATAATGGACTTACCTGTTCTCGGCTTAATGCCATTTCTTGGAAGTCTTCTCTTGTAGAAAAACAAAGCAATGGCAGATACAAAACTAAAAAGTAAAACAAGAAACTCTAAACTTAAGAATACAAATTTTAAATTACAGGCAACAGTTGTATGTTCATGTTCAAATCTGATATATCCATTCAGACCATACAAATTAAATATGGTACTATTATTCCTTGAAGGGGCATTAGTTATGAGATATAAAAAAAAATTAAAATATGATTTTTGTTTGTTCAATCATTATTTAATGAAAGTGAAATAGTGAAATAATAATTCGCTTTTAGCAGCCAATTAGTTCAATTTAGTCAAAATAAGTTAAGAAACATTGCTGATGAATTATTCACTTTCAAATGACCCATTAGCTCAAGATTGGTTATGCATGTTTTAGTCGTGTTTAGCCATTGAAAGGAAAAGAATGTCAACATTAAAAGTGAAACAAAGGTGAACTGATTCGATCCACAAAAAATCATTCTTATAAAGGTAAAATCGATGATTAACTTATTTTTTTAACCTATAACATGAAATCAAACAGATCTGGAAAAGTCCAATTGCACGAGGTTTCTATCTATTTATATTTATGTTTATGTTTATATCAGGTTATGTGAAGGTCGGCAGTCGTCGGAGGTCATCTCAATAGTTAATTAGATGGCGTCTAGACTAAAATACACACAAAATGTTGATATATATATCATTGAATCTATGCATTCCTAATTGTTTATTTCAGACTTATTGTAATTTGGATATACGTTTTAGGATGTTATAAATCAAATATGAGAATTTTAGTCAAATCGGTGAACATGAATTTGACAGCTAACACCCCTTTAATAAGAATTTGTTTTGCATAAGTTGGTTTATGAGCTTTTACAAGATGTGATTTCCACTGTTTGGTCTTAAGCATATCTGTTGTCTATGAAAGTGGTCTACCAAAATTCTCTTTTGTTTCATGCAGACGAACACTAATCACTCCTGACCAAAAAAACTGGTCTTAAGCATATCTGTTGTCTATGAAAGTGGTCTACAAAAATTCTCGTTGACTGATTCAATCCACAGAAAATCCTGACTGGAACAGCATGCAGTGTTTACCATCATCTCATTATTTTAGCAGATACTTTATTTCGCATTTGATGCATTAAAATGTTGCATGTTTAATTTTTTTTGGTCAGGAGTGATTAGTGTTCGTCTGAACGAGAATTTTTGTAGACCACTTTCATAGACAACAGATATGCTTAAGACCAGTTTTTTTGGTCAGGAGTGATTAATGTTCGTCTACATGATACAAAAGAGAATTTTTGTATGACTTTTTGATTTCATATCACTGGTATTTTGAAGAAAGACATGAACATATATCTATATTTATTGCTATTTTCATAAATATGCCTTTGATCTTTATGTTCACTAATTTTACATCTAAAGCTACTAGATTAAGATAAGTTTTTCTCAAATGAATAAAGTTCAAATGTGATGAAGCTCAAGCTAACAACATTGATGTTGTCTTATAAAAAATGAAAACAACACATATTAAATTTAAATCGTATGAAGCACTTTTCTTGATTTACCTTCATCAGGAGTGCTCAAAGCTGAATATTTGAAAGCCAAGGATGTATAAGGACCTAAACAGTTGAAGAGCAATATGACCAATGGACCTGTAAAATAGCAATAATTAGTTCATCTGTGCTCTTTTAAACTCTAGGGCAATTTTCTCGGCTAAATCTCATCTCATGGCTATTGTCCTTCAATAAGATTGTAGCTGAGAAACTCATGATGTTCCAGTCAGGTTTTTAATATCTAAGCAACATCCTGGTCACATGGTAAATTATGGCACTGATACACACACTACACTCACCAGACAAGGAAGAAAGCTGCTGTAATAATTTGCACTGTGGTAGCTGTCTCTGGACTACGACAACATGTCCCATCATTATAGTTCATATGATCGTTACAGTACATGTTCAATAAAATCTGTACATCCTAAAAAACAAAACAAACAACATTTACCTATTCGTCATGTCAGATTATTTAAAAACAAAAACTTAAAAGACTTATAATTGCAGACATCTTTAAATTTTCAAGAACATTTATAAGCAATCAAAGTAATGGATTTTGAACTGCAGACATCTTAGAATTTTCAATAACATTTTATAAGCAATCAAAGGATGTTTGCTCTTCAATTCAAGGCAATGTAAAGGAACTAAAATGGGTGAGTGCATTTGTCATCCGAGGTACTAGTGTTTTTTTTTGGATTAAAGAATAACTGGATGGAAGGCCACAACCTCTACCTGAAATTACAATGTCATCCATTTGATATTTTATTTAACTTGCTGAATTTATTCAACATGTCTTTATAATAAATGGAAAAATACATTGGATACGACAAATTGTAAATTTATTCCTTAGAACTCAAATTTTATACCTCTTTTCACAAATACCAGTTTGCATTAAAAAAAAAAACAATTCTGAAAATGAAAAAAGTAAGAATTATCTACCCTATTATTTTCAGGTTTGTAATTTGCAACAAGACATATTTTTGCCTTTGTGTTAGTCATGTTGTCCCAATCAGAAACAATTAATGATCTATCACTTGTTTATAAAAGAGCCATAGATCTGAGTCTCCCTTAACCACATGTGATCTCCCACCAATAATGACTTACTAGTTGTAGAGCTGGTTTAGATATATGTAACCCATCGTCAGGTAAATCTTTTGCTGGTTGTCTGATTCCCTGTGCCACCAGTCGAGATGAACTCCATACCTTAGCCTGGCTCTCATCTCTTTGATAAAAAAGAAATAATTATTGATCTTAAATCTTCTTTTACAGTTTCCCTTTTACAGCAATCTTACAAATAAGCTTTCTACCAAAATTGACCACATCTTCTTGGTTGGTGTAGATGTGTAAAATCTCAACAAGGTTGGCAGAATAAATCTTTTGCATGCTGTATTAAATTGAAATCTTTTAAAAATGAAAATATTTTCTGATATTGAATATCATTCATGGAGAGTGTTATCATGTGTCTATGTTTATACTTGTTGACATTTCTTCGTTTTATTTCTCATAACACTTCTGAATGTTGTTCATATAGAATAACCGTACATTGTTTCAAACATGTGTCAAAGTATGCAATTTATTTATACAAAGACTTAGAATCAGGCAGAATGTGAGGCTCTCTTTGTTCTAGCAGAGTATAAATAACATTTATATTTTGATACAATGTATGGTTGTTCTCTTTAAAATGCAGCTCTCACACCTGCTCCAAAAGAAACCAACAATTTTAAATTTTAAGCAGCAATTCAAATATTCTGCATTCTTTCAGGCTGCCAGAAATAAAACTATACAGAAACTCAGAATTAACATTATTTAATATACACGATGCTTTTTTATGGCATTTTTTTTATAATGATAAATAAGGCCTGTTAAAACGGCATTAAATTCATTAATACTTACAATAAATCTATAGCCACTTTGTTATACTGGTCAATCTGTCTGTTAGTTATCATGGATCTGTTTAGGCCTAGTCTATTTTCATCAACAGGATCTAATGAAGAAAAGAAAAGAATTAAAGTGCTTGGGAGCACTGGAGAGTAAAGATAGCATTCATTTTGCAGTGGGAACTAAAAATTAAACATTGATCTGATCATTGGAATTAATGAACAAAGAAAGATAACTCCAATCTTAAATATTACTTTAACAATGACACCCTTGATATTTTTAGAACATATACTAGATTCATGTACCATGCACAATTTATGTAATTTTTTCACATGTATGGTGATACACGTACACATCATTTTGAAACTTAAACATCTGGGTATATATTGCATTGATAAATTTCTTCAGGAATGTTCATGGATTGCTGTCTCATCATTTGCTCTTAATTTTTGAATCTTCACACATATATATATATATATAAGGCCATAAAATGAATTTCAAGATTTCCATCGCCTCTCCCTCACATGGACAACCCTCCTTCATTTATTTTACATTTACATAAATCAAAAACATGTTAATAGGCAACTCAGAAACAATTGATTTATACAAGAAACTATAAAAATGAGTGTACTATGTTACCTTGTAGCATCCATATTATATCGGTATTCTTGTCAGCTTTCAAGTTTTTAAATAATGGCTGTATCATTGTTAGATTTACTGAAAACAGAAAAAAACAATAAACTTATATAATGCACAAATTCTCCTTCTTAACAAACAACTAAAAGACTCATTGCAATGAAAACTGCAGATTTTTTAATCCAATCAAATCATTATTAAGACATACAATTATCACATACTTGGAAATACTTTCACAAGACTCATTAAATTATTCAAAGTAATGAAGTTAAAGGTCGTTTTATCTACACAAAGTAAACAGAAGGAAATAAGTCAATGTTATATTGAATTGTATTTCAATGCAGTTTTTCTTTTGTCCAGTAAAGAAATTGATGATGAGGGCAAATTTTTGGTAGTCTCTATTATATTCATTCATTCTTTCTAGACTCAGTCATGTGGATTGATAATTGTTGTTTGTATAATATACCGTCCAAAGGCATATCATATTCAAGACAATGTGGTCATTTTTGTATAATATACCGTCCAAAGGAATATCATATTCAAGACAATGTGGTCATTTTTGTATAATATACCGTCCAAAGGCATATCATATTCAAGACAATGTGGTCATTTTTGTATAATATACCGTCCAAAGGCATATATTTTAAGCATATATTCAACACAATGTGGTCATATTTGTATAATATACAATCCAAAGGCATATATTTAATGCATTTTCAAGGCAATGAGGCGATGTACATGTAGGTCTTGATATATGACCCATGCCTGTATGTTGAAGACAGTATGTTGGCTTTTAGATGTCTTTTTTTCATCATTAGGTTGCTGATAAATTTGATTATGCCCAACACTCTATTCACTCATACAATAAGAAACTGAGACAAGAGTAAAGAAATAAAACATGAAAACAATGTTATATGTGGAAATTATTATCTTTTATAACAATTAACAAAATCTAAAAGTTTTATCATATACAGTATCATATAAACATTGTAATAGAGATATTGATTGATTGTTGCTTGTTCAATATCAAGGGAGAAATATTTCATGCATATTCAGGAAGAGAACAAATAATTAATAAACAATAGTTTATAGGGCAAGCAAGGTAGTTAGACTCATATGATGGATGGGAAATTCAGACTTCCAATAGAAAATGAGGGTATGGTTGATAGGGCAAAAATTTTGCCTAGAAACAGGCAGGCAACCTTCAAATCCCTCTGTAAGATGTTGCAAGGGTTCTTTAACATGCGGAGTATGGCACTAGTCCTACAAAGGGCATAGGATTAACAGCCCCATTCAGACTCTGACATTGTTCCATATTCATACACCCCCAAAACAAAACATACTTTTGCAAATAGAAAAATACCGCTTTAGGTTGCACTTTGTAAATACAGCTGTTTCTCAAACCACGCCTCTTTTGGGGAGATATATAATATTCATAGATATGTTAATTTGATAATGTACTGGTTCCCATTTATGATCTCTATGTTTCATCTCATAGAGACATCACTTGGGAATGTAACCAGTACAGAAAAACATGGTAGCGCCTAAATTTTAATTCTTAGGAGGTCCAAATATGAAGGTAAGGGTTGTATAGCATTTTAGTATAAGTTTAAACTCATAGAAGTTCAGGGCAAATAAATGTTGAAAATATGCCACACAGCCCTATATTTTGACCTTTGAATAAAATAGTAGTGCATATAAACTTTCTGTTCTGGGATATTATTTTTCACGAAACTTCATAGTAAAAGTGTCACAGTTTTAGCCGTAAGGGGAGTTTCTATGGGAAACTGCATTGTCTATATTTACAGAATTGCAACCTATATAGGGTTAAAAAATAGAACATACAGAATTTCACAAAATCTGGTTTATCGCAGAGGTTTTAAAGAATTTAACTCAAATATGAAGTTTATAGATATTTCATGAAGATTGAGAAATCCTGAGCCTTAACTATGATGACTCAGCATAAATTCACAGTTTACAGTATGCATGGTTTACTTAGAGGCCCTGAATTCAAAATAAATTCATAATATATGCCTATTTGTGTTTTAAATTGTTCAGAAGTGCTTATATTTACTCTTCGCAGTCATTGCAACTCATTGATCCTTCCTAAATAATTTTGTTGGGTTATTTTTGTCCTGTCGATAACCCAAAAGTAAGCCATAACACCTAAATGTGTTTTTTTGTGACCGCGGCATTAAAAAGTACAAGCTAGAATTACAAAAAGACCTCAATAAAACTTTCAATAGTGTGTTCTATCCTAAGTATACACTAAATATTCCACCTTGCTAAAAACAGGGAAAATATTTAGGAAATGTGAGGCCCCAGGGGGCAAAAAACAGAAAAAAATGCCTACCCTGGGTCATAAAACAGATAATTTAACTTGTAAATGCTATGCTTTTATTATTTTCAAGGTCTTTTGTAAACAAAACAATAACTGTGCTGGAAAGTTATGCAAAAATAAGATGTAAGAAGTCACTTCTATCAAGCTTTTATTGAATTTATGCACCAGACTGATATCTTCTTAAATACAATTTTGCAAATATGGCTTTGTTTAGACACTTCTAGTTCATACATTAACTAACTTATGTTAGTTATATGGTTAGAGATGATACTGTTGTGACAAGAATTCTTAACTGACCATTTGAGACAGAAATTGTGAACTTTCATTGACAAATAAGCATACAGTAAGATGTGGATTGGAGACACAGGCAGGATTGGATACTTTGTATAATCTTGAATGTTGGAATGATTAGCTACTAAATAATACATTTATAGTATTCTAAAATGCTTTCAATTTGTTATCAGAATAGTTTCAAACATGTTTTAGACATTTTATGTCAGAAAACATGCACATAGGATAAGCTAGCAATAATTAAAGTCTTGTTTTCAAATTCTTTAAAAAACTGAAACAGGGGTAGGGGTATAAAATGTACTGTAAAAGGAAACTTAGAGTATATGCAGTGATTTCCTTAAGGCTATAATTCTGATAAATAAGTATTGTTGCAATAAAAAGTGTTTTTAGAAGGTTTTCTATTTGAATAAATGTTTGTAAAGGTTGCACTTTGTAAATACAGCTGTTTCTCAAACCACACCTCTTTTGGGGAGATATATAATATTCATAGATATGTTAATTTGATAATGTACTGGTTCCCATTTATGATCTCTGTGTTTCATCTCATAGAGACATCACTTGGGAATGTAACCAGTACAGAAAAACATGGTAGCGCCTAAATTTTAATTCTTAGGAGGTCCAAATATGAAGGTAAGGGTTGTATAGCATTTTAGTATAAGTTTAAACTCATAGAAGTTCAGGGCATATAAATGTTGAAAATATGCCGCACAGCCCTATATTTTGACCTTTGAATAAAATAGTAGTGCATATAAACTTTCCGTTCTGGGATATTATTTTTCACGAAACTTCATAGTAAAAGTGTCACAGTTTTAGCCGCAAGGGGAGTTCCTATGGGAAACTGCATTGTCTATATTTACAGAATTGCAACCTTTATAGATAGTCGCAAATACATCAAACTAGGATAATTTCTTTATACCAATAAGTCAAGAAAGTAACAAAATCATGAAAATAAATTGTGGCGAACTTGCCTAGAAAGGGCTTAATGCGAAAAATAAATTGGTTTACAGCATAAAAACCAAAAGTATTACAGTGTATGGTTACCTTGGAAATTTTTTAATGCATCCTCACTGGCATTATTCAACTTGATGCTCCACTGAAAAATACAAAAACATTTCATTTCTTAGATTCTGATTTTCATTGATTAAGCGCCAGTTCTTGTAAGAACAGGCAATTTAGAAGAATTGTAAAACATGGCCAAATAAAACCTACCAACCTAACCATCCTAGTTTAAAGTTACCCTCATCCTGAGTTAGAAATGGTCTTTCATTTCTGCGTATCTGGTAATTCAAGAAATCTCTAGATAACTTTTGGTGAGAATTATAGCAAATTACAGAGTTAGCTCCCCATAACTGTTTATAATTGCTAGTGCATTTCAACCAACTTATATCATTTAATACCAGAACAGGAAAAGGAAACAAATGTTATATTCGTGCATCATTATGCATTTTGAACTTAGATGAATGTAAACTTGAGCAGGTTTTTGTTTGTCATGTTTTCACCACTGTCTGATTCTTAGGCAGATTGGCACTTAAATAACAACATTACTTCATAGTTTAAACATTTGATGCAAAGCAGAAATTAAGAATTTGTCCCTAAAAGCATACTTGAATTAGTCCTTATTAAAACCTAGGATGCAATTGTGGAAAGATCAACAGAATCTTTTATGGGTTTTATGTAATTTGAATCAATTCAAATAGGCAAAGTCCAGCAATAACTGCCTGTGTGATTAAAAAAAAAATACAAAGATGTAAGTATCAAATTCATATCATGCCTAATGAATCTAATTGGTTTTAATCCTTTAAGGAAATAATTGTTTCGCTTCTGAGAGTACCAGTAGAAATACCATATAATTTGTTACATGCATATTTGCTCTTTTCTTTGTTGTATTGCATCAGAAAGTGTGTTTTCTGCTTAAAATAATGGTGCTTCATTTGTTAAAAAGTCTTTGTTCTTACTGCGCGCATATATATGCATGCTGAAAGCCATATTGTGGGGAAGCAGCAAATACCAATTTTGAAGTGTTTGTTTTGACTTGGTCATGGATCAAACCTATGACCTTCCACATTTGAGGCAAGCATGCTACCATAAGACCACTGAGGTGGTTGTTTACATAAAGACTGGTGTTCCGAGAAACCAAGAACTATTTATTTGTTTTAACTATTAGACTAACCGTAGCACTACCAGTAATTATCTGATTTGGTCTGTTCAGTGGTTCATTCATTAACCAAGATTTGTAAACATAAAACATGGATGTATTGACCATAGGATGCCACAAAAAATCCTGTAAAAAGATTTGTAAACATAAAACATGGATGTATTGACCAGCAGATGCCACAGAAAATCCTGTAAAGAGAAAACTTACAATCTGAAAAATATTTTTTTTTCACAAATTAAGTTAACTGGTTATGACAGGGGACACAGTCTGACTTTAATAGTGCTTGTATAAAAATGTGATTTTTACAGGTTGTTCTTTTGATGTGCTGTTACACCTCTGTCCCAGGTAATGGGAGGGTTGAATGCTCTCAAAACATGTTAAACCCCTACCACATTCTGTGTGTGCCTGTCCCAAGTCAGGAGCCTGTAATTCAGCAGTTGCCATTGGTCAATGTTAGTCACTGTCGATTATATATTGTATTATATTTTTTTTTTTAGTTTGAATTGCTTATATTTTGTCTTTTCGTCATTTCTGGGTTTTTTAATATCTAACAATACAATATGGGTTTGCTTAAATTTACATCATTTGGTCTTGGACGGATAGTCGTTTCATTGGCAATCATTCCACGTAATTTTTACTGTTAAAACAATGACAAAACTGTTCAATGGTAGGCACTAATGGGGATTTAATATAAAATACTGATTATCAATATTGCATCATTCAAATCATGCAAATATCAAAATACTGGCTGCTTGGTTGGATGATACCCTTGGAGACTACTTACAGCAGACACTTTGATTTCGTCATCCTTGAAGTGTAGATTTGTGTGGGCTTTTTGGTTTTTGACTGGATCATTACTAAGTAGATTTACAAACTCAAAGTACAGCTGTCTTATCCTTGAGTCTCCAAGGAAGGCTATATGGTTCCTCTTCCCCCAGTAAGAAATATAATGCATACACATGCGAGCATCGCTAAAATGAAATGAAATTTTATTCTATGAAACAATGCACAGAAGACTATTAATACATGTACAAAATGTATAGTACATGTACTATAAACTAATACATTTTTTTCACATTAAAAAAATGAAGATCCAAGTTTGACATATACAAGAAAATTTATATGTTCAAAAATTTTTCCTCTGGTGTAATTCACGGAAAAAAATAGTTTGCCAAAATTGATTGGTTTACAGTACAATTAATCATCAGAAGGAACAAAATTCCAATGGCAAAAACTGCTTCACAGATTTTCTCAAATTAGAGATAGGATTTTACTAGTGATGATACATGATAAAATCATATACACTACATGTATATGTAGTTACGTGTATCTCATATATTAACAAATTGTGCAATTGGAAAGTATAACTAGAGGCTCTAAAGAGCCTGTGTCAGTCATCTTTTTGTTTTGTTTATCTTGTATTGCTGATCATTTTTTTCTGTTTCCAGTTTCTCTCTTTTTTCTTTAGTTAAATTATAATTTTGCCCAAAACACAAAAAAGGTAAAAAAAAATCATTAAAGGCAATCTATCCTATAAAGAGTAAACAAACGGTTTTGGCAAAATCTTACTTAATGGAGATCTTGTCTTGTTGATCATTTTTGCTTTTTGAAGTGTCTATATTTCAAAGTTTTCAAGATAGTAGGCAAAAATGTAAAATATTGGTAAAAATAAAAATTGTCATTAAACATGTTAAAGAGCAAGAACTGCTACAAGGAGACGACTAACAATTTCAGCTATTTGACTTACTTGTAGATCGTCTTGCTGATTATTTTTGCATATCAAAGTTTTTATAGATCTATTATAGTTTTTCAGATATTAGGCAAAAACACAAAAAAAATGGTAAAAATCATTATCACAGGGTAATAACTCCAATAAGGGGTCGTCAGACAATTTCAAGATTGTGAACTAATTTGTAGATCTTGTCTTGCTGATCATTTTTCTTATATAAGTTTCTTATATACTGATGCCAAGTGAGGAGAAAAGCTCACTTGGCCTTTTAGGCTAGGTGAGCTAAAAAGTAACACCAACCTCTTTGTATATTTATGCATCATACATCCATAGGGTTGCCATGTGTTGTAACCAGGGAAGCGTCCATCGCTTAGTAACCACTTACAAGTATCATTACCTGCAAAATTAAATGAACAATTTGATATATTTGAACAATGTACAAAATGTAAAGAATTATGGATTGATCCTGGCTTATAAGAAATTGCCCTAATCAATGCATATAAAAATCAGGCAAAAAAAACATATGCTTGTTTCCTGTCTCCTGACCCTCGGACTTTTATTTTTTTCTCTTGTGCATTTGGGGAATCATAACAGTATATAGTATACATAAAATCAAAACAATTTATTTATACTTTATACTGTTATGATGAACTCTTGTACCTTATTTTGCTGTACAATAACATTCAGGACATTTGTTTCAGGAGACCGATTTTGGAGCGGAATAAGAGTTGTCGCCCATACAATACTTCTGTCATTTAAGAATAAAAATACGACGACACAACAAGCAAAATTGATCGATTCTGCGGACAGACATAGAATTTCATTAAAAGTGCCAACTGCTTAAAAATAGGAATGATAGCAGAAACGATTCATGCCCATTGACCTCAAGGAAATAAAATATTTTTTGAATAAGACTGGGGATTCCTCCTAGAATTCATGTAGGAAAATAGGTGATAAGGTACGAAGTGAGATACCTCCTCTCTATATGATATATCAGTGACCGCTGTGGATAGTAAATTTGGAATTGATAGTAAATAGCAAATACAAGTTACATGTATTTGCAGAATATTTATCATGTGTTTATATTCGTATAATACAGAAAAACGCGAAAATAATTGATATTGATAGAAATAAAAAAATAACGGATTTTAGAAAAATATAGAAAAACAGAATATATTACTTGCAAAACATCATGCATGATGAAATAAGTACATTAAGGTTAATCATAACCTTTTGGCTAATATGGCCGTATTTACATCACAAATTATACTCTGAGTACAGACAAACCTGTGCACCTGGAAAAGTCTTTAAGGCATGAACATGATGAAAGGAACAAGATTATTAAATTTTAAATGCATTTTATGTTTCAAAAAATTATAAACTTTTCTGGATTTTGCTATTCATTTTTTTTTTTCATTCCTGCAGAAGATGCCAAAATAAACTAAGGGAAAGAGGTTAGAGAAGCTCCCCTCATATAATAAATTTTGTGAGTAGTATTGATTTAAATGGACAATAGCTGGACAATAGACATCTGCAAACATAACTGAGTGGACCATATCAAATGAAACTCATGATGGAGTCATGTTTGTTTATTTTCCTATCTTCTGCAGAAAATAGGTAAGTTTTTCAATTTTCTGAAACATAAGACTATATATAACTTATATATATCTAGGTCCTGCCATGCCTTAAAACTTTCCTAGATGCATCAGTTTGTCTGTACTCATAGTACATTTTGTGGTGTAAACATATTTTTCAATTCCTTTTGATGAACCTTAACCAGGTGCTGATTTGACTAGGTACCGAATTGACTAAAACTGGTGCCTGTTTGACCAGTCGAGGTTTAACCATGTGTCAAAGTAACTAGATTTTCATTCGATTTGGGACACACATTTATTAAAAATTTTAAGAGATAAAGCATATCTATAAGCCATTTCAATTGATATTTTATAGTGTGTCTTTCTATGTTGTGATGTTACACTATTGTTTCAGATAAGGGTGAAGGATTGGTACCATTAAAACGTTTAAACCCGCTGCAATTGTTTGCACCTGTCCTAAGTCAGGAATCTGATGTTCAGTAGTTGTAGTTTGTTTATGTGGTTCATAAGTGTTTCTCGTTTTATATATAGATTAGACCGTTGGTTTACCCGTTTGAATGGTTTTACACTAGTAATTTTTGGGGCCCTTTATAACTTGCTGTTCGGTGTGAGCCAAGGCTCCGTGTTGAAGACCGTACTTTTTGGTATTGGTTTACTTTTATAAATTTGACTTGCATGGAGTGTTGTCTCATTGGCACTCATACCACATCTTCTTATATCTACCTATAGAATATTTGCGTCATAAACTTTAAAATTTTTTTTATCTGATTGTTGGTGTTTAAAAGGAAAGTGCCACAGCGTAGCCAAAAGTCTAAAGGGTGCGGATCTCTCCGTAAACAGCCAAATAAGAAAAACTATTAAAGAGGAGTAAGTTTGAAAACACATAATGACATTGGTGGAAAGAACTATTTAAGTATTTGGGTAAACTAACTGTATTTTAGGTGAATGACTCCATGGTACATAAGGAATCCTGTGACCATAAAGAGGGCAATAATTTTTGCATTTTCGATGTTTAAATAGTAAGTTATTTCGTGTGTTGTCGTAGGTCGTTGCTGCTCAGCCATTTGTCGACAAGAATCTTTTTATATCAGATTAAAGCTTAAAACATTCATACATTAAACGTAGATTTCAAACGCAATTCTGACTTAAGTAATTTTAACATAAATCAAAGTGCAAAAAGCACTTGCGGCAAAACTGATTGTGACAAGGGAGATAATTATAGATGAATGTAACTTTTATTTAGTTAATTGAGGATATCCACACATTTACGTGTGCATGACTGTTCTGGTGTGAATTTTCTCTGTTTAGGTCTTCTATTTTATTAACTCCTGTAAAAATTGCTTATTGATTTGGGTCGATAAAAAATAATGAAATTATCTATTAATGGAAATATGAATATTACATTTTCGACAAATGTTTTAATTATCATTTTAGTGTAAACTAATTCTTTTATTATTTCATTCTAGGAAAAAGGTAATATAAAAAGGTTTATAGCCGACCATACGGTATGGGTTTTTCTCATAGTTGAAGGCCGTACCGTTGCGTATAATTGATTACATTCACTTCATTTGAAATTTGGTGGATAGTTGTCTCCGGCATTGGCAATCATACCACATCTCCTTATTTCTATAAGGTTTTGGCAGCAATTTGTCACTATTGATATATTATATGAGGGTCGTAATGACGAATAACGGTAAAAAAATCTTGCCAAATAACGTTAACGGTAATGTTTGGTACATGACGATAAAATGTACTCTTTCTTTAAGACAATAAAAAATAAAAAAAATCGACTGATTTTGACGAATCACGTTAATTTCTTTCCAAAAATAACGTTACCGGATAATTATTTGAGACCTCTGACGAATCACGATAAAACATTTTAAACCACTACCTCAGAACAACTGTGAACAAAATGTTGAAACTGAAGTAATTCAAAATGTCAGTGAAGAGATAAACAACAAACCCAACAGGGTACAAAAGGAAGATTATACACAAGATGAGTCCAATCTAATGGGTCTACAGCAATCTTCAAATAATGGTCACCATTTTCGGATCACAAGCCAAAAAGGACTACCCCCAGAATTATCAGAAAGAAAAACAAACCATCATGAAATTTAAGTAAGAACATAAACATCATAACATGCAATATTGAAGGATTAAAAACCAATATTGCATATCTTCACTCTTTAGATCTCTCAAATACAATACTATGTCTACAAGAGCATTTCCTATGGGACTTTCAAAAAAACGAAGTAAAAAAACTCATTCCAACAATGGAAGATCATACTAGATGTTCCGATACAAATGATCCTCTGGATAGCTTCAAGTTACCGAAAGGAAAGGGAGGAGTATCCATACTCTGGCCATTACAATGGTCCAGCAAAATTAAAAAAACTAAAAGATGGAAATGAGAGGGTTATAGCAGTTAATATTACATCAACCAATGATATATGCCTTATCAATGCCTACATGCCAACACATACAACGAATTCACAACATGAATATATGGAGTGCCTGGACATTATTTTTGACATAATACAGAAGTATGAAAATACACACAAAATAGTGCTAGCAGGAGATCTGAATGGTACATTACAAACTTCCAGAGCAAATAAGCATGATAAAATACCAAGAAAATTTATTGGCGATGTAAACTTGACTACTGGTGTTGAAATAGAAAATACCCATACCTTTTTTCATCATGCTGGAAATTCATCCTCACAAATAGATTATATACTTGTACAAGACAAAAAGTTAGTTACAGAGTATAAAATTGAGGAAAAATCAAGTGCAAATACATCTGCACATTCAATTGTAAAGATGGAAATAGCCTGCCAGATGACAAATATCAGAAACTCAAGTAACAAAAACAACAAAGCAAAATTCAAAATGCTTTGGGAGCAAATAGACAAAGAGAGCTACAACAACGCTATACAGCAGGATATCAATTCGATTGAAGAGGAAAAAGATATCAATATTCAATTAAAAGTATTAATGGAAACACTAACTAAGGCAGGAAAAAGAACAGTCCCAACTAAGCTGTTACAAACTAAAGGGCCAAAATGGAAAGCCTCGCCAGAAGTACTTACAATTTTGAAATCATGTAGGGAAATATATAAGAAATGGCAAGACATAGGGAAACCAAAAGAACACCACCTAGCAATTGAATTAAAAAATGAGAAAAAGAAACTGAGAAGTAAGCAAAGAGCAGAACATGCAATAGAAAGACAAACATTTTACCAACAAATAATGGATAATCCGAATACTCAGCTATTTTACAAACTGATAAATAGAGGCAGAAGCAACAGTCGAACTACAACCAACTGTCTGAAAATAGATGGAGAGTATATCTTTTGTCATGAAGATAAAAGAAAAAGATTTGCACAATATTATGAAGATCTCAGTGTCCCAAAAGAAGAAATATATGACAATTCCTATCTTAATCTATGCAAAATTCGACAAAGCTATGTACAAGAGGCTTTAGAAGAGTACGAATACAATCCTGAACTCTTTACAGACACGGACATAGAGAAAGCAATAGATTGCCTCAACACTATAAAAAGTCCGGATGAATTTGGACTTACAGCTGAGCATCTTAAATATGCTAAGAGTACCATAGCACCAGCAATGAAGGCAATTTTTAACAACATTCTAATATACAGAAAGGTACCAATATTTTTCAAGTCTGGTATACTTACACCAGTACTAAAGAAAGAAAAAGACCCAACAGAGACGAGTAACTATAGAGGCATAACAGTAACACCAATAACTGGGAAAACCTTTGAATACTCATTTCTAAACAAACTGATGATAGAACCAAAAACAGACCTCCAATTTGGATTCACCAAAGGTTTATCGCCAATCATGGCAAGCTTAATTATTTCAGAAGCTAGATATGAGAAAAAAAAGGGGAATGACAATTTCTATATAAACATTCTAGATGTAAAATCAGCATTTGATGTAGTCCAACACACTATACTGATGGATAAAATGCTTAATCAAGAAATCCATCCAATATATTGGAAAATACTAACAGACCTATATACTGACTTAACTACAAAAGTTAAATGGCTTGATGGCATAAGTAATCCTTTCCAAATTAAACAAGGTGTAAGACAGGGAGGAATTCTATCAACCCATCTATACAAAATCTTTGTCCAAGATCTTCTGGTAGAATTGGAACAATATTCAATAGGATACCAGTTAGGAAATATATACGTAGGATCACCAACTTGCGCCGACGATATAGCCTTTATATCGAATGACAAGCATGAACTACAACTAATGCTAAATGTGCTCGGTAGATATGCAAACGAACACCACTACAGTATACATCCAACAAAAACCCAAATCATAGATTGTTCCAAAACAAAAAGTGATTACAACTGGAAACTAGATGGAAATGATGTAACAATAGCTAAATCAGGTGTACACCTAGGACTAACGAGAGCTGAAAGCAACGAAAGTCACATAAATGTACAAGAGAGAATAAAATTAGCAAGAAGAACTAAATACGCCCTCATGGGATCATGCTGTCATGGTACAAACGGTCTAGACCCACCAACCTCATATCAAATTTACAAAACCTATGTCATTCCAAGGTTAATTTATGGACTAGAAGTGTTACCTCTAACAAGATCTGATATCGAACAGTTGGAAAAATTTCATAGAAAAAATCTTCGCCAGTTACAATCTCTTCCAGAAAGAACCGCTAATTCGGCAGTGTTACTACTGTTAGGAGCTCTACCAATAGAAGCAGAAATTCATAAAAGAGCTTTGTCTCTCCTACATGCACTACTAACATGCGAAAATGAAAAAATACATCAGCTTATGGAAAGACAAATAACAACAAATTTTGATAACAAAAGTAGCTTCTTTTCAAGAGTTATGGATATAGTAGATATGTATGAACTTCCAACCATTATACAACTTCAAGGCAATGTTCCAAAGAAAGAACATTGGAAAAGAACCATCAAGCTGACAATAGACAAATTTTGGAAGGACAAGACCTTAACAGAATCTGAAAGAAAATCTAGCTTAAAGTTTATGAATACGGAAAACTTCGAGATCAATAAACATCATAAAGTCTGGAAAGTAAAGCATTTGCCTCGTTTTGAACTTAGAAAACCAATAATCAAGACTGGAATGATAACTGGAACATACATACTTCAGGCAGACAAACATAAATTCACTCCCTATACAGTAGAACCAATATGTCAATTATGTAAAACTGACAATGAAGACATAACTCATTTCCTGACAACCTGTCCCATACTTAGTACTACGAGAGAAAAAAATATTTCCTTGATATAAGAAAAGAGATCACTGATAAAATCACACCAGCAAAATGGAACTGCACCTTCAAGAACAAAACTGCGATAGTACAACTGCTAATAGACTGATCAAAATATAAGGAGCTATTTGATAACTGTGAAAAATTCATGGAAAATATTGAAAGCAAAACCAGAAATATGTTATTCCAAATGCATATAGAAAGATTAAAAATTATGGACAACAAATAGCAAGACACATATTGCATATATATATACGTATATAAATATACATATATCTTTAAGTGGAGGAAATGACAATCAAATGAGAATAATGATTATCATAAGTGACATATATATACCAACACAGAGTCTGTCATTTAATAATTGTAAGAAATTTAAATAATTAATAAGCATTCCTATCTTTTAACTCACTAATACATTTATGATAGGGTCCATATCATGTATATATCCTGATGGTGACAAAACAAGCTTCTATTACTTTATTATGATTTTTATATACATTGATCATGAAGTACATATAACATTCCACTGAGAAAACCTGCCTTTTTAGATTTTACTAAATTCTTACATCTTAACTTATTATTTTAATACATAGATCTTATTAAATAAAACCTCCTTTTAATGTATCTTTTATGCATATTAAAAAGCAAATTCAAATGAAACATATTTTTAATTATAAATAAAACTGAGATACATACATACATGTAAGTGAATCTACTTGTATGGTAGATTAATTTATAACAAAAAGGTCCATGTAAATATGCCTTGCATG